GAAGAACTGACTAATTAAATATTATTTAAAGTTATGCTGCTATAAGGTTATGCCTTTGTATTAAAACTATTATGCCGCTTTATTAATTCCTTATTTATAAGTAGGGTTTATTATTAGGTATTTTAGGAATTATTATTAAGAAATAGTTATTATTAAGTTTTATTTATTTATATATCTTATATTAATAATACTTATATAATAACTATAAGATCTCTATATATCTTATATATATTAAGAGGGTTTATATATTATTTAATTTATTAAACCTTTCTTCTTTATATAATAGATTTATAGTATTATTAGTATAATATACTTTAATATAAATTATTTTAATTTATTAGTATTTCTATATTCTCTAGCTCCTTATATATATTATTTTTTATATAAATTATAATATTTAATACTAAATTTATTAAATAATAGTTAGTATTTTTATTTCTATTTCTATTTAAGGTATTTATCTTATAGAAATATTATATAGCTTATTATACTATACTTCCTCTATATTTTATACTTTATATATATTATTATTTATATACTTAAATCTAGTTTCTAACTTCTTATTCTTTCTACTATAATTCTTCTTTATCTTATAGGGTTATTTTAACCATAATATTATCTATCTATTTAGATACTTATACTAGCTTATCTAACTTAAAAGTAATTATTTTTCCTTTATTAAGAACTTTTAAGGTTTATAGCTTTCCTAGCTTCTTAATTTTTTAGAGTTCCCTTTATTAAGTATTTTATTATTTTTTATAATTTAAGTTATTATAAAGTTTTTATTTTATTTTTATTATATTAGGCTAGCTTAATAAGATATTTTAGGTTATTAGCCCTTTTATAAGTATTCTTTTTCCTTTAGATTTAATTCTTAGTTTTCTTATCTCTTACTAATGGATTTTTTATATTAACTTCTTTATATATAAAGAATAAATCTTATAATTCCTTAATTAAGCTATTTAGGTAAGGGTTTTATTATTATAGTTTATTTATAGATTTTAGCCTAGTAATATTATAATCTTTTTTATATATTTTTAAAATCTAAATATATATAGCTATTTATAGATTTTATACTTAGGTTAATTTAAGGGTTTACTTACCTTAATTTAAATCCCTAGGCCTTTATAATTTTAAATAGTTATATATAATATATTTATTTTTATTATAATTATAATATTTAACCTTAAATATATCTTATTATTAGTTATTATAATTACCTAGTTAAGTTCTTTTAAGTATTATAAATCCTACTTATATTTTATATAAGGTATTATTTTATTAATTCCCTTATTATTATTTTTAGTTTTAAGAGTTACCTTAATTATTATTATTATATTATTAGTTAATGTAATATAAATTAAAGTTATTACCTTATTTATAGTTAGCTTTTTCTTTTTATAGTTATATTATTATTTACTAATATTAATTATTATAATAATATATATAATTAAGTTATTAAATCTATTAGCTAAATATAATTTATTTTTAACTTCTTGTTTTAATTCTTTATAATAGACTTTTATTAAAGCTTTATTATCTTATTTAATTTTAAATATAAATTATTAAAATTTAATAAAGTAAGTAATATAAGACTTATATTACTTAAATATAAATAACTTTATTATAGCTTATTATTTTTTATTAATTATATTAAAATTATTTTTAAGAGTTTATTTAAAATTACCTTAGTTTTTAAGAATATTTTAGGTATTTTAGTTTTATATATTTTCTTTATTTTTAAAAAAGTCTCTTAAAATAAGTTTAAATTAATCCTTTACTTTTCCTTAAATTAAGCTTATAGTATATAAAAGTTTCTTTATAAGTATATTTAGCTTATTTTAATAAAGGCAGAAATAAGCCTTTATTTAGGTTAAGAATAGGATTATATTTATAGCTTGGCCTTTAAAGGGTTCTAGCTTAAGAGGCTTAAGTACCTCTTTAAAGTCTTATTTATTATTTCTTTTATTAGCAGTTATAGTAAGATATATATTTACTTAAGCCTATAAAATATAAATAATATTATAAAGCTATTAAACTTTAGCTATTATTTTAATAATACTAAATAGTGCTTTAATATAAGGAAGTGCTAGGCTAGTATTACTAAATATCTTAATAATATAATATTATTTAGTTATTAATATAATATATTTTAAATAAAAGCTATTAATATATAATAAGTTAAGGGTTTTAAATAAAGAAACTAATTTATATTAAGTTTATATTTATAAATTATATAAGTTATTATATTAAATAAGTTAAGTATTATATTTCTTAATAATTAAGTAATACTTATTAGGCTTATTAATATAAAGAAGTTTTATTAATATTTAATAAGTTAAGTTTTATAAAAGTATTAATAAATATAAATTATATATTAAAAAGAAATTATAACTTAATAAAGAATAAAAATATTTTAAGAATTAGATTTTTAAGGATTATTAGTAATTTATAGTAATCTAGTTTTAAAGTATTATTATTTAAGTAATTTAATAAAAGAGGATTATTACTAGGAGAAGTAATCCTGCGGTAATTAGAGGAAATTGTAGGGGCTACGTGATGTAGCCGCGTAGGTTATAATACGTACCTAGTCTGTGACCGCTGCTGATTTCCTGATATTGGCTGTAGATAGTCTCCTTTTCTTTGCTTTTTTGGCCGAGGCTGCCCCTGCCGGAGGCCTTTATAAGCCAAGTAAGGAGAGGAGCTTTTTCTGCCTCTGTAGATATGATTAATATCTCTTTATAGGTGAATTTGCCGTGCTTCAAGATCCTTGCTATCTTCTTCCTTCCCTATATAGTATCTCTTCCTTATGCTACTATTAGTGCTATACTTATTAAAAATGGCGTTATATATAGCCTCTTTCTAGTCTTAAAGTATACTATAGCGCTTCTAATAAGGATACTAGGTCTTTTTTTATAAAATAAAGCTATTTATTAATATAATATTAAGAAGAAAAGATTAAAGTAATACTTACTAAGGATTAAATTAAAAATAATACTAATATAAAGAATAAAATTTTATTTAATTACTGCAATTTATATAATTTATTTTATTATTATATTAAGCAGTAATAAAAGGAATAGGGATTATCCTAGCCTGATTTCTATTAAAGACCTCCTTTAGGCGCTATGCCTCTGCCTTTATGCCTCTTTTAGTAGGTAATTTCCTCTCTTTTAGTATATAATTAAGAGGGGCTATACTATATATAGTTAAAAGGAAGAGTACTTTAAAACTATCTTTCTAAGTAATTTAAAAGACCTAAAGGGAAGGAAAAGAGATAGGTTAATAAGGGAAATATATTTAAAAGTTATTTATATCTATTTATCCTTTACTAGAATTAAATATACCTTATTAAATAATAATAGCTTATTATTAAAAAGCTTCTTAATCTCTTTTATTTACTTTATCTTAATAATAATATTATAATTAAGGCATACTATACTTATAGCCTTATATCTAACTTACTAAAGTAAGTAAAAGAGCTATAATAATAAGAAGAGGTTATTTATAATAATATAATATATCTATATTAATAGCCTTTTTAATAAGTAAACTATAATGCTTTATATATTACTAAAAGGAATCTTAATTTATAGCTTCCCCTTTTTACTATTTAGTATTAATATATCTTTTACCTTAACTATTATAGCTATAATTAATAATACCTTTATATACTAAAGCTACTATAGAAAATAGCCTTATTATGCAATAACCTAGATTTTAAAGCCTACTAATATAGGCTTTCCCTTAATAAGTATTATCTCTTTTAATCTACCTATAAAAGGGATTATATACTTATCTATAATTAGATTAATCCTTAAATAATAAAGCTTAATAAATACCCTTTATATATATTTAAACTACTCTTTAGCTACTTATAAGGTCTTTAAAAAATCCTTCTTATTACTTATATTAAGATTAGTATAATTAAATATATAAAAATACTATATAATTAGCTTAAACTTCTATAATAATATAAACTTTATAAATAAATAAAGGGGGCGCTAATTTCCTAAGCTAGGGGCCTTTTAATAGTTTATAAGGGATATTTCCTTATAAATTCCTAAGTAAATAAGGATACTAAGCTATATATAAGCTATTAAAGTAGAGATACCTTCTTAAGTATATAAGCATAAGTAGTTAAAAAGGGGGGTATTCTAGCTATCTTTAATGCCATTATTAATATAAAAAAAAAGCCTAGTCTTTAGTATATCTAACTTATAACTATATAAGGGAAATAGGTATAAAAAGCTAGAATAATTTAAGTAGTAATTAGGGCAGAGGGTTAATTTAAAAATTATAATATTTTATATTAAAAGGTTAAAATTATTACTGCAGCCCTCTTTAGGCAGAATATTAATTATACTAGTAGGGTTATTAATAGCTACTATAAAAGGCAGGCTATTAAAGCTATAATTATCTAATATATATATCTTTTTAGAGCTTATTATTTTAATCGAGACTCATTAAGGTTAATTTATATGAGGATTTTGATGATTTTGGTGGTGTTGAAAGAAGAAGCTGTCTGACGGGAACTTTACGTACCCTGCAGGTACCTGCAAAAAAGCGGGGTAAGTGACCTGTGGCAGTCTTATGCCGCTCAAAGAGATAGTTATGTTTGGCACCACGCTGCGGACTTCGAGACGGTGGGTTCAAGCACCCGGAGATAGGCTGTAATTGCTGGAGTGGATTACGACGTGCATAGAACAAAGCTAGAACCTTCTCAAATTCCTCAATGCCTATTGTAAATCTCTATTCTCCACTGGTTAAATTGATGTCGCTATGGGGCTCAGTTATATTATGGCTTATTATGCTTTACATATTGAAACTCCGCTATACGGACCGAAAACGATAGTAAAAACTGGAACGGTTGAGGAGTTGAACTTTATATAAACCGTCTTCTTCTCACCTCAAAGATTTAAATCTTCATCGTTTTACCAAGCATCACTTGGAATAACACTACTATAGCCTACATTTTATCACTCATATAGTCATAAAACATGGTCCGAGTTTGGTTCGTCACTGGTTCCTCTGAGGAGCCGGCCGCGTTCTGGTTGAAAAAGTCCTCGAGTCAGGCGATATTGTCGTCGCAACTGCTCGCAACCCATCCCGACTCGGCGATCTCGTCACCAAGTATGGACCCGATAAGATCTTCGCAATTAGCCTTGATGTGACAGACTTCGACCAAGCCAATAAAGCCGTTAAGGAAGCTGTTGATAAGTTTGGCCGCATTGACGTGGCTGTTGATAACGCTGGCCATGCAAACCTGGCATCTATTGAAGATATAGACATGGAAGGTTTCCGCGCGCAAGTCGACGTTAACCTTTTCGGTGTTGTTAATGTTACAAAGGCCGTTGTGCCTATTATGCGTTAATAGAAATCTGGTCATATTATCCAAGTGTCTTTAATAGGAGGCCGAATCGGTATACCTGGAGCAGCAGCATACTAGTGCGCCAAGTGGGCGGTTGGCGGATTCTCGACTGTTTTATTAAAAGAAGTCGCACCATTCGGCATCAAGGTTACAGTCGCCGAGCCCACTGGCATCAACACTAACATGGGGGCTACTGCTACTGACAACTCCAAGGTCAGTGAACCTTATGAGCAGACTGTCGGCCAGATAATCCAGCTTATAAGTAAGGAATATTCAGGCTGGACGGAAGTTTCTGAGATAGCAAGGGCCATAATTCACCTTTCGAATGTGGAGGATCCTCTGCTGAGAATTGTCCTGGGCAAGGATGCACTCTGAAAAGCGGAGATGGTGGCTAAGACTCTTGCTGACTCTGATGAGAAGTGGGCCAAGGTCTCGAAGCTGGAGTTCTGAATGCATCTAGTCCTTGAGACCTAGCGATAGACTGAGAAGATACTGGATTATTTGTGTACGATAGTCAATTCACGGGCGTCATTTTTTATCTAAACTTACATCCGATTGTTTCCACTAAATACACGATAAACTGATGTCTACTAGTCGAGCCGTTACATCCCCTCGTATCTGAAGTTATATTACATTCAGTGCCTAGCAAGATGATAGGAAATGCCGTAACTATAGGGAATGAGGTGGGATCCACCTCGGCAGTCGAAGCCTTGAGCTTGAATATTCCCGTATAAGATTAGCAACAGGCAATTTCTAAACTTGGCCGTCCTTAGAAGGATCCTGCCCTGTCGCTGCAGAGCGAATGCGTCTTCACGGCTAACAATACCGCGACCAATAACACCTTATAAGGGCATATTAAATCGTCCAGCAGTTCAATATTACTAAAGAACCCCCGCCTACGGTCGAATTATTCGGCCTTACCTTGCGTATGACCTAGCCTTATCTATTTCTCCTGATAAGGTTCAGCCTGGACTAGATAATATTCTAGATAATGAGTCTGACCTTAAGTCCGAGGTTAAACGTAACTTTTTCTACCATCTCTACGTGGTCTTCATGCTTATGTAGAAGAGGGCAACGGCGATGATATATCAGAGAGCTTCGGGTTGAATAAAGATGTTACGTCAGACCCATCGATCTCGGCGCAACCATTACTGGTTGTGCTCGGTATGAAAGCCAATCGCCTTAGCGCAGAGGGTCTATTTCTTTGCTAATGACAAGTTCTCTGGTCACATCATCATTGTTGTCACCAGACCTATCTTCGAGATCGATAGTGGATAGAGCCGAAACCATGCTCAGCGGATATCTTCAAGCGATTATTGAACAAAAGCAGCCAACTGAGCCGCTGTCGCTCTGTAAAATGTACTATATTAATGTATATATATTAAGAAAAATAAAGCCTTAATAATATTTAGGACATATATATATATTTCGCCTTCTGTATTAGCTCTACCTAAGGATATATATAATAATACAGGAATATTATATTCTTCTTATAGATTAAATAAGAATACTTAACTAATTTCTGCAAAAACTTTTGCTAGAATTCTTATAATTGCAGATTTATTTCTATAAAGCCGGTTTTATTTGCCGAAGTCTTATATAAGCTTAGTTATCAAAGTCCGCAAGGTCTTTATCTCAGCATATCGCTAACTTATCAGGTTTCCCCAGTTCGCTAGATTCGCTAGTTAAACTTGAACATTATGTTACACGACTATCAACAATTCAACTTCAATTTAACAACTTACCATAATACCTAGAAGTCAAGAAGCAAGAAGCATAATCACTTTATTGCATAAACCGTATATACTACGATCACTTAGCCCTGCATTAGCCTATCCTAATATCTATAGCTTTTATATAATAGCTCTAGTAAAAAAAGACAGCATATTTCAGGGCCTTATAGATAAAAGGTAATTAATACTATATATAGGGGAGTTTAATTATTAGTAACAGGTTTTACTGGCTTATAAGTCTAATAACTACCTAAAGGAACATAACCTAACTCCTAAAAAGATAAGTAATAATTATTATAGTATAATACTTCCTTTTAAGATCCTTAGCTATTATATATATATATTAACTCTTCTAGTTATATAAGGTAAATACTTTAATTAGCTTACTTCTATATATTAAATTAACCTAGTTTATAAACTTAGAATATTATTTATAGACCTTAATACCTTAAGGCTAAAATATATCTTTTTAATAAGTATTAAGCTAGTATTAAGATCTATAAGAAGTCTTAGCTAATATAAACCTGGCTTAATTAATTATAAGGTTAATATTATAGAGTATAACTTATAGCTAGGCTTCTATAGCAGCTAGACTCTAAAGTGCTTTATTATACTATTAGCCTAATAAATAGTTTTTATTCTATATTAGTTTGGGATTTTTTGCTATATCTATAATAATACTAAGTAATTAGCTATAAAATAAGTAAGGCTATCCTATATATTATAGCTATAGTATTATTTTATTTTATTTAATATCCTAGTTATTAGGCTAATAGTTATAGAGCTTTATAGGCTATATGTTTAAAAATAGTTAGGGTTGCTAGAGTAGTTAATATATTATAATAAAAGTAGATAATAGATAAGAATAAATTAATTAAGGAGGGTAAAAACTTAGTTATATATATACTGGCATTAATAAAGCCCTTTTTATATTTTTATAATTGTAACGGTTGCACAAGCCGTTAAGCCACAGGGCAAAAGATCGGGCCATAATCGCTATGCAAGCAATTATGGGTGTGCTACAGCTGCCTTATAGAAGCCTTATAGCGCTGTTACGGGCACGAATCGTAACAATAATATAGTTATAAAATATATATAATTAAGATATTAATTTATATATAGGCGCTTAGGAGGTAATATTACCCTATATTATAAAAGTAAAGCTAGCTAGGTAGATTATATTAAAGGAATAAACTAGCCAATAAGAAGGTTTATTATATACTTTTAATTAAAAACTTTACTAAGACCTCTTAAAATACCATTCCTCTTTTAATAAAAGAGGATTTTATAAGGGTATAAGTTAATAAGAGGTTGTAAATTTCCTCTTTTACTAAAAATAGGACAGATAATAAGGATATAGACTTAGCAATACAAAAAATTCACATATGCCTAGATAACCTCGCGGCCGCCGCATACTTACAGGGCACACTATCAGACTCCTCTTAAGATATTTTTCTCAAGTTCCAGGCTTTAATAGCATTATATAAAGCCATATAGGTTTATTAAGTGCCAGGATATACTAATATCCCTAGTAATAAATAGGCTAATAAACTAGCAAAAGTAGTATTATTACTACCTAAGCTTAAAAGTACTTAATTAATACTAGCTTACCTCTAAAGGATTATAAGATAATAACTAAAAGAAGTATTTAAAGTATAATAATCTATATCTATTCCTAAGTAATATAAGAGATTTAATCTTAAGGTAATTACAGGCTATCTGCTAAAGCTCTTACTCTTGCAAGTAGCCTTATACTATTTGCTAGCAGTAAGATCCCTCTATAAGGACTTTACTATATACTATAAAAGATTTAACTATAATAATATATACCTGGTCTGCTTATATAGCCGATATAAGGCATTAGATTATATTTTCTATTATAGAAAGGTACTGCCGCAGTATCAGATAAGGCTTACACCCTCACCGAGTGCAGCAGTAAACCTTACAATAGGAAAAGACTTTACTAAGTTTATCGACCTATCTAAGGATAGCGCGTTCTTTGGAAAGATTTATCCTTGCTATTAGGCAACGACGACCTGAGAAGCACTTGCGACTCTCCTTCCCTCTTTATCTTCCATATATTTTTTTTATTACCTTTTCTTTCTCTCTCTTATATGCTTACGGCCAGATAAAGGGCGCTGGCACGCCCTTCATCTGGCCGGGACTACCTTGAGGTAGTCTTGAGCCGCCGCACACACAGACTGATCTCAGCTCTCCTGGTATCAGGCTCCAAAAGCGGCTGCGATATGCCAGCTTTGCCTGGCCATCCCGCTGACAGGTAGCAGGCTCGATAGGATGCGCCATTTGTGCCGATGATATGCTGGATAGAGTGCGGTCTACTGACGCGTTTGCAGAAATTGGATTCTGAGGGGAAGACTAATTTCGCATCGCGAATGACTAATCCTTTATGGCTAATAGCATTTCTATAACTAGCATGTAGATAGATTCTGATTCCTCTAGTTCAGCACGTCCTGCGCCCCAGTAGGGGGCTTTTCGGGGCCTATGGCCCCCCGGACGAAAAATATACATAACATAACATAATATACTAAGACTATAAGTGAGGACTGGGGTAAGAGTAATGGCAGCCCTATTACTGGTCAGATGGCTTTTACCGGACCTGCAGAGGTGCTTCATCAGACCCGAGTATATAATAGAAAACTGAGTTAATATAAACAGGACCTTAAAATAATAAAAGGGTACTATCTTTACTATTAAGTAAAAGGGAAACTATTTAAGTATATATTAATAGCCTATACTTAATACTTTAATTAGATTTATATAAAGAAAAAGGCACTCTAGGATTACTAGAGTAAGATGAAAGTATAGATAGATATCTATGCAGTATATTGGAGATGCTATTAGCTATAGGAAATCTGCTAAGTGGCAGATCTAGAGTATAAAGGGGATAGGTTATATAAATTCCCTGATATAGTAATGCTATTATGCTTTAGGGCATTTAGTTAATAAGGGCATACTTAATAGTTCTTAAAGTATTTTAACTAGTTATTTAAGACTTGCTAGGAGTATATAATAGGGCTTAACAAGGATATATCTCTAAGAGGTAGTTGATGTGTGAATGCCAACTATATAGCTGCTTTATTACCAAGGGATTTCTAATAGGGCTAAGGAGAATAAATAATATAAGTATTATTAACTTATTATAGTTTTTACTAGTTTTATAATATATTATTAAACTCTAACAGTAGCTACTTTTATTAGGCTTTATTATATTATAAGTTTAGTCTTTTTCTAGTAAATAAAAGATTAATAAGATTATTTTATCTTTCTAATTGTTTTTTCTTCTTTTTTTTTTCTTTTAATTATATTACTTTTACCTTAATAGGTAGTTTATTTAAATTATAGACTATAACTATAGAAGCTATAAATGCTAATATACAGAAAGGGCTTTAGGATAGTATATATAAGTCTAAGCTTACTATAAAGGTTAAAGCTAAAGATATAAATTTTAATTAAGATATTTAAAAATTAATAAGTAGTTAAAGAAATATATTATAGTAGAGGAATAGAGAAAGAAATTAATTACTTAGGTATTACTTTAGTATAAAATTAGAAAAATTCAATTTATTATTTAATTAAACAGGTTAAAAGGTAATAAATAATTATAAATATTTCTGAGTTGTGTCGTTGCAGAAAAAGAGAGCGGACTCTCTTACAAGTCCTCCCAGCCTATTTATTTCCCAATTCTCGGACTATGAGCTAATGGACGCTCCACTGTCGTTGTCACCTTTCCCCAGTTCCTCAGGTTTTCTCCAGTGTCTGGCCATGCTATCCTTGTTTCAGCTATGTCATGTGGTTGACGAGACGCTAGAATCCTTGGCTGGAGCCATTTCAATAGTTTCGGCTACCGGTCATCTTCAGATATGATAAGCGCTTTGATCCTCGGAGAACGTTAGGCGACGGCCCCTCGCTCTTTGACAGGGGAATTGTTACTCGGCGAACAAGGGCGATCTGTGGTCAAGACCGCTTCGTCGGCAAACTTTTGGATGGATGCAAACGCCAATCTCTTGCTCCGCATGTGCGGAATAATTTGGAACTTCAAAGATTCTCAACCGCCATCGCATGTGTGACTGGAGGTGGCACTGAGGGAAGATGGTTGACTGAGAGCTTACAAAGGAACCAGCCTCGGACGATTGAGGGCGTGAGAAACGTGGGAGAACCTCTAAAGACAAACATATGACAGTGGCAGGGCGTTTGGATACAGGTGTAGAAGTGAAGAGACGGTCAATTTGAGTTAAGATAAATAATACATAATAAAAGCTAGGTATAGATACCTCGATCCATCAGATGCCCAACCCACGAGAAATCAAGACGTCTATTTATCGAGAGCTTGGCTTCGACACTATTTTCCAGAAGGTTAGCAGTGAACTGACTAAAACCCCAAGAGAGAGATAAATAGTGGCTAAAGAAAGGAGGAGAAATCTTACCATTTGCCAGTAAACACCACGCTTGGCAAGAAGATCGTGATGATTCCCCTTCTCGAGCAACTTGCCATCCCCAAGGACAAAGATGACATCGGCATTCTGTACTGTTGCAAGCCGGTGGGCAACAGCAAGCATTGTCCGCCCTTTGCCAGCGCGTTCAAATGCTGCCTGTACCAGCTTCTCACTCTCCGAGTCTAGCGAACTAGTAGCCTCGTCAAGCAACAAGATGTCAGGGTTACGCATAAGAGCCCGTGCAATAGCTACACGCTGTCTCTGCCCTCCTGACAGAGTCACTCCGCGCGAGCCAATGTGAGTGTTGTATCCTTCCGGAAGAGACGCGATGAAGTCGTGGATAGATGCTTCGCGGCATACTTGGTGGAGTCTCTCGTCTGTGATGGTGGACTCGTCGACCCCAAGAAGAATGTTTTCCCGAAGTGAACCTGTATAATTGTTGGTTAGCATGTAATTGAGCAGTGCTGTGCGTTTGCTCGTACCTTGGAACAAGCTAGACTCCTGCGCCACCAGTGAGAGGCGACTGCGGTATGCGTAGACGTTGTTGGCAGCAATATCTTGGCCATTACACAGGATGCGACCATGATCAAGATTGTAGAATCTGTTTAGCAACCATGTATTAGTATGTATTATCTATATGTGAGAGAGGTGGTTTTGCTTACCTTTCGAGAAGAGAAATGATGCTTGACTTTCCGCATCCCGATGCACCAACAAGGGCTGCAAACTGGCCCTTTTCCACAGTGAGACTAAGTCCCTTGAAGACTGGCACGTCTCGTGTAGGATACTTGAAGTGGATGTTATCCAGTTCAATCTTCATGCCGTCGCCATCAGACTTAAACAACTCGCCACTCACACAAGGGTCGTCTTTCACTTGACTGCTCCTCAGGCTCAGGATCCGGTTGGCCGCTGCACTGACTTGTGCAATGTTGGGGCCGAAGCTGAGTGCTCGTCCTGTGGTCTCGCCCGCGTTCAAGATAGATATAAAGCACACAAAGAAACTCTCGAGGTTGTACTCGCCCTTCAGCAGTAGGCGACCCCCATAGTAGAGTACCAGTGCCTGGCATCCGATAGTTGCACTATCTGAGAAGGCAAATAACAAGCTCACCCAGCGAGACTTTTTGTAAGCATCTATGACTTGGCTGCTGCTGAGATTGCGGAATCGATCGCAAATGACACCTTCGAGTGTAAGAGATGACACTGTTCGGAACGCCCCAATTGCTTCAGAGGCAAAATTGGAGCTGTCGGCGAAGACGGCATTGTTCATTTCTTCGAATCTGATTTCGTAACGCAGTCGCCAGTAGCCAGAACCAAGAAGAATAGGAATAGCGACGCAAAGACCCACAAGAGCTAGCTTCCAAGCAAAGGCAAAGGCAATAGCGATAGTCCCCGTCAGTGTCCATAAGGCAACATACACACTGGCCATGTTGGAACCCAGGAGCTCTTCAAGCTGTTGTGGATCGCCCGAGCTCCGTGCAGTCATGGTGCCTTGAGAGTGATCGTCGTCGTCGAAAAAAGAGATCTGTTGATACAGGATAGACAGAAAGTACTGCTTTTGGTACTTGGCACGAATGGTGCTAGCAGTGCGAGTAGATAGCAGAAACGTGGCACAGTAGCTGATACCTGACGAAATGGCCAGAACTGTCCACATAAGCGACCAAAACTCACTTTCGTCTCTGACTTTCCCAGAATCAGGGAGGTATCTAAACACGACAATGACCTTGGCGAATAGCCAAGCTTGGAAGGGGATGGCGGCGCCTGCGCAGGCAGAAAAGAACAGAGTCAGAGCCATAATCCACCAAATGGATTGAGTCTCGTAAAAGAATCGTCCAAAGCTAGAAAACAGATTCCTCTGCTTCTCACTTTTCTGTTCTTCTTTGTCTTGCATCGCGGAGTCTGCGTGGCTCTTTTCACGTACAGGAGATGGCAACTCTTCCTTGATTGGGACCCCAACGTCATCCGTGGTATCTCCCAGGGATAGAGCTTGAGCATTGACAAGGCTGTAGTAAAGACCGTTTGTGTCTTCGAGGAGACTCTCATGAGTGCCCGATTCGACAAGCCGTCCCTGTCTCAAAACAACGATTCTGTCTGCCTTCCTGATGGTGGAGAGGCGATGGGCGATTGTAATTGTCGTTCTGTTCTTGGAGGCCCTGTCTAGCGCTGCTTGCACTATTCGCTCACCTCGGACGTCGATTGCGCTGGTGGCTTCATCGAGGATGAGAATAGCAGGCTGGCGGATGATAGCGCGGGCAATGGCAATTCGCTGACGTTGGCCACCGGAGAATTTGGCACCACTTTCGCCGACGGCTGTATCGTAACCCTATAATGACCAGAGAGTATTAGCCTTCTGCCTTGGACGAAATCGTTGCTTGGAGCTGCAATCTCAATAAGGAGTGATTCGTCACACTTACATCTGGGAGTTCACTGATAAACTCGTCGGCAAAGGCTTCTTTGCAAGCTTCTCGGACCATCCTTCGCTTTATTTCCTCTGGTTCATTCTCCCACCGGGTCCCGACGAGACCATGGGCGACATTCTTATAGATAGTGTCATTGAAGAGAAACGGTTCCTGCTGAACAAGGCCGACTCGTGATCGCCACCACTGGAGGTTGATGTCGTCCAGACTGTGGCCGCAAGTAGAAACAGTGCCATGGAGTTGAACAGGTGAACCAGACTCCTCTTCCGTGTCGGCGTTCTCTTGGGTCCGTTCGGGCTTTTTCTCGACGATTTGAGGGATACCGGGTTGGCCCTTCAGACTGTACCACCGTTCAATAAGGCCGACAATCGTGCTCTTGCCAGAGCCAGAAGGTCCTACAATGGCAGTGACCTTACCACGTTCAAGTCGTAGGTTGAGATTATCCAGAATCTTGACATGTGGCCGGCTGGGATAAGCGAAAGTGACGTCTTCCAAGACGATGTCCTCGGAGGCAGATACGATTGGATCTGTCAGGTGCCCAGGGTCAGGCCGGGGTGCATCGATGACGGTGAAGAATTCGCCCGCGGCAACTGTGGCCTTGCTAATCGCAAGAACTGGTGTGGACATTCGCTCCATCGAAGTCACTATCATCATGACGGAAAACAAAACACTAATAACGGTCAGCATTGCACAGGTCTTCTTTCAATTGTAGAGAGTGAGGGAGGGACTTACACAATAATGGCTCCAAGCTCGTTGATCTCGTTTTCGAGCAAAAGCCTGGTTCCGTACCAAAATGCCAGCGCAAAAGCGGCATAGCTGCTAAAGAACTAGATTCAAGGGATGTAGTTAGCGAGTGATGTTGATTGCGAAAGAAAACGAAAAGCTCAGTCTGACATACCACCAAGCCGAATTGAATACCAATAAACGGGCTCACGAATCGTGCATGTTTCTTGGCCTCTTCAACAAATTGACCATACTTGTTGCCAATTCGAGATTCAGCACCATAGGCTACTACCATCCGAATGCTACTCAAAGCCTCGCTTGCAACAGAAGCCGCCTTGGATTCGGACTACAGTTCCCAAGTCAGTGGTCATTCAAACAACAAGGCCGGGATAGAGCATCGTACCTCGCCTTGACGCGTCTGACCCTTGGTAATGAAAGGGAGCAGCACGCGGACGCTGAGTAGAATAAAGACGACTGCAGTGAATGTGACGAGAGAAAGCTGCCAGCTGAAGATGAAAGCAATGATGATAGATGAAATCATTGTCGCGGTGAACTCAACAAAAACACCCAACTTCTCGGATATTCCCAGCTGCAGGGTGTTACTCGCAGATGTAATGACTGTCGTTGCGTATCCAGGAGGCATCGAGTCTAGTACGTGGACGCTTTGGGAAAATAGAGCTGTGAGAAAATCTTGTCGGATGGCGGAAGAGATTCTGATACCGATCATACGAAATGCGAACTAAGACTGAGTAAGCAGGCGGAGACAGCGAACAGAAGAAAAGAAAGAATTACCTTGTTGATGTAACTGAGAACGAGGCGACCGAGAAATAGACCGAGTAGGTATAAGCTGTCGCGGTTAGATATTAGAAAGACAGAACGCATAAAATACATACGAAAGTTCATTCAACGTCGACTTAAACTCGCTTTCAGGAAGTGTTCCGGTACCAGCATAGTCAGAGAACCTGCTAGCAAATTGCCCTAAAATGCGATAAATCGTCAGCAAACAGCTCCAAAGATCAATTCTTTTATTTTTTCCACTTACCAAAGACAATATTGAGCAAAGGGAGAGTTACGCCAGCGCCGATCGAGGCAGCTGTTCCAGCAGCGTAGGCCACAAAGTCCCATTTTGTGGCATACTTGAATACTCGCTATAAGAAGAAAACAAGAAGATACCCAAGTTAGCTGCATCTCGTTGCGGCGTTAGCGATGGATATGGTCATTTTCATACCAAATAGTCTTGAAATTTAGCCTCTCGCTCAGAAGTAGACTTGGCGTTGGTGTCAGGAGACGGCTTTTCGTCCTGCCCTGGTGGCATTGAACTGCTCTTATTTTCAGCCTTGCGTGGTCCCATAATGACTGAGTGAGAGAGCAAGCGGTTACAGGAAATGTACACAGAATCAAATGCATCAAAGGAAAGAGATTGTACATATGCTTTTGTTTTGTTGGTGAGTCTCTCGCAAGCTTCGGGAATAAACAGCAAAGCGTGTGCGGCTTAGACTTGGGGGCCGGGGAGCTTGCTAGCCCGTCGTCGGAGTTTAGGCAGAGCCCGAGGATCCGCTGTCTTGAAAGGGGCACAAACATCAAACGATCTGCGTCACCAGGTTAGCGCAGTGGTGGGTGGCCAAGAATCAGTGTCTATCCGTAAAGCTGGGGGCGTTAATGTGCAGTTAAGCTTCTTTTCAGCCCTGTCGCTAGCCCGATTTGGGTTCTTGGCTGTCGATCCGTAGACACGACCCTGTTTGGATTAACCTGCAGCTCGTACCCGCCTCTGGTAACCAATCGGATTTCCCATTTCGTTTCCCATCCCTTCAGCACCAGCTCCACTACCGCCTTTCATCCGCCAATTTCATCACGCGAAAGTGGTGTGATGCTTTTACGAGATACGAGGGGAGGCCCCTTGCATCACTGGTCTACTTATGGTGGGGTGAGGGCAAGCAAACAATCCAACAACCAACAACAGACATACTCATAATTAGGTAAACCCTTCCGTTCCGAGGCCGGCCGAGACAAGCAGAGGCATGCAGCTAGCCCTTTACTTTCCGTCATTGGCAGCCCGTACTGAGCCGTAACGCGTCATCCCTATTCCTATTGTCAGCTTCCAAAGAAAGAATCATGCCATGTGTTCTTGATTGGGTTACAAAGTGCTGCAGATACAGCTGAGCTTTGGGTGCATGAAAATCATTCGCGGCCAGTCGGGTAAGTACCAATCAAGAGTATGATCTAATATAAGCACTTTTTAAGGGTTCGGGCGCACGAAACGAGAAATCAATTAAATTATCTACTAAGGAGTCAGGTAGCTAGCGCTAAATACAGAGTATTAATCGCAATTTTTTCATGTCTTATTCTCCAAATCAACATGCGCTTAACTATAATAGCTTCCTCGCCAACTCCTCCTTATCCAAGATTTGACCTTGTTCAATCAACTTAATTAAACCTTGATGTATACTTACATCCAGACCCGTACCCAAAAAATCTGCCATATCGACAACCCAACCATTGAAGTCTCGTATCTCTGTTTGCTTGCCCGCCTCCGCATCCTGAAGCATGGAGCTACGATGTTCAGTTATTTTGCGACCAAATGCATACAGTTTCGATTTCAGAACAGGCTGTGAGAACCTTTCAGTGAGCTTCATTCTGATCTTGGCAACGCTTTGGTGGAAGTCTTCGCAGCCTGTCTCATCCTGATGCGTCTGCTCGGCGTAAGAAGAAACAATGTCAAGGCTTGCATCGTGATTTATAAGACCCTGGATCACGGCGCTAATTTCCCATAAGAGCTTGTCGAGTACGCGAGTCAAAGGGTCTTGCGAATCAGGGCTTGTAAATAATTCCCCCGATTTGCAGCGTAACAGGGCTGTGAGTGGATTGACTGTGGCATTCTTGACCAGCTTTTCCAGCTGCATTAGCCACAGTTCGCCTGAAGAAACTTGTTTTGTCTCCAAAAAGGGTGTGCTGGCGATGTATTTGTTGAAAAAGTCGTCCGAGGGCCGTTTGTCCGAAGCCGAGAAGACAGGCCCAATAGAAGCGTCGCCAGAAACTGACTGAATGCTCATGAAAGGGCCTGCCGATGATACGCCATGATTCACGACGCATGCTGAAAAGGTAGGGGCGTCCTCAGTTCCATATCGACTGGCTACGTATAAAGGACCATGCGGAGGCCACAGCTTGCAAATTCCGTTCTGTGCAAAGACCACCGAGGTGGATCTTCCCAAGTATCGACGAAGCCGATCTGCTTCGGTCAACGCAGCCGCTGCCTTTGTGGCGATGAAGACGTTGCGTAGCTTCTCCCCATCTGCCACTTCCCTTACAGGACCATACTGAGGTCTAGTCTCTGTCCACCATTCGATGTTGAACCGCTTGCTCTTAAGCACTTTGCCGTGGTCTGGGTCTACAAGACCTATGCCCTCACTTGCTACCCATTGTGATAGAAGTTCTTTTCTGGGCACCACGAGAGTGATGGGGAGCGGGTTGGGTCGCCGGACCAGGTGACTCGCGAAGAGTCTACCTATGTTACCAGGACCCACGATGAAAATGCGCTTGTCAGAGTCATTTGAGGCAGCATGGACACGATCTTCGTGATGATGACCATTGCTAATAGTTTCTCTGAGTTTTGATGTAGTTGTTGGGCGGATATTGGCAGGAGACCAAGCAAATAACTTTGGGGATAATCTTGCATCAGCTAAGAGGGCCGGCAACCAGCTTGAATGGACTTGGGAGGCCATAGTCTCGTGAATCCCGATCAAGATTCAGAGATAGTTATGAGAAAAGGGAAGCTGCAAAGAGGTGTTGAGTTTTGGGTTGGTGGGTATCGGAGGTCATAGAATATAGGAGGAGCAGAGCAGTGGAATTAAGAGTGAGAAGGAAGCGCTAGATGTGAGAAAGGTGCTGATATGTGATATATTATCATGTCATAAACTCGACCAAATTCGACGATGAAGTGCCGTGAAGAATCTGGCAATGGACGGCAGAGAGGTGGACCTGTTTCACTATGATGATGCCAGTGACGCTCTCAGCAGATGAACACGAGATTGATCGATTGGTCATAACAATGTAAGCTATATATATACACAATCCCAGTGCAGACAGAATGATCTCAATTGTAACCAGAAAAGTCCTACTCGAGCTGTAGGTTCTTTTCCTTGTCCCGTTGCTAAGTGTTTTCCTCCTTCCAATCCTCTCTATTCCTCTTAGGTCACTTTTTGGGCTTGTCAATCTTCATTGAGGGAATGTCTTACGACAACTCTACCCATGGGGGGCTGTAAGCTGCTTGCCTCTGGCGGCCGTTCGGCACAACTTGATATCCTACCCATGTAAACCTCTAGGGTCAACAGCTGCAACAAGACTATTTAGGAGTAAAGGATCTACAAGGCCCTGATGTTGACAGTGCTGTTGTCTTAGGCGTAGGCAAAGCTGCCTCATTGGCTAGGCCTTTTGCGTGGTCTTCCTCTTGGTCTGAGCGGCAGCCCAATCCGTCGACTATTGCTGCGGAAGGTCTTAGAGGGAGGTCTCGAGAGGTACGTACTGGTACGTCAGTTGGCGATGGCCTCAATCAAAAAGGAAGGACCCTATGGGTCCAGAGGCGTTTAGATAAGACTAGTGACCGAATATTATTCCGAAGATCTTGGTGCATGCGTCATAGAGATACAAGGGACTCCTATTCGCCCCCGTTTATATACCTGAACTTTATGAGCAGTTTTACACGATTAAAGTTTTAGGTGGACAGCTGCCTCCTTGGCATTAAGGGCACAGCACGCAAATATTGCTGACCCACCAGGTACCGTTAACCTTTCCCTTCACCTAGCTGTAGGGATCAGAAAAGTATCTGTACAGGCATATAACCTTAGCTGCAGGGATTAGCTTCATCGTGATAAGGCAGATGGAAAGTATTTCTGAACATATCTTATTAATAAGATCGCCATTAGATCGGTCATAAAAGATCTCATGATTTGGTCGGAAAATCGGCAGAGATCCATTCGTGACCGGCGTGTAAGGCCCTCACTACCAAGGAGATAACATTTACCATGTTTATGACTATATGTTCCTACGATATCTATATCCTTTCCACCCGCTCCCGCAATAGTTATTACAGCTATTATTTTCTTAGTGCTTAGCTTGTTTAACTGCCGTGCCGGGTCTGTGCTACTTACCCTAGCTCTCAGCACTTTCTTAGTGCTTAGCTTGTTTAACTGCCGTGCCGGATCTGTGCTACTTACCCTAGCTCTCAGCACTTTCTTAGTGCTTAGCTTGTTTAACTGCCGTGCCGGATCTCTGTGCTACTTACCCTAGCTCTCAGCATATTCCTAGTGCTTACTCCATCCCCACTCTCCCGCGGGCGGGATGGAGATCCCGCCTATTCCCGAAATGAGTCTATGGCGGTGTGATGAACCCGCCCCCTTTTACCGTGTCTTATACAGTAGCGTAGCGGGTGAGGAACTTTTGCCACTTGTGATCTCCAAGATTCCGTGCCTTAACTCAGCCGTCCTGGCCACGTCAATCGACATTAGCAAATCGACATGCCATCGATGCAAGAGCCGTAAGGGTGGTGGATCTTCATGTTTGAGAGCCTAGCCTGATTGGAGGGTGCAGATTGACAGATTGACAGCCGCTTATCCTTTAGGAAGTCATGTAACCCTAAACCATGCTACACCCTAGAGCGTTTGATAATGGATTCGATTTGATACATACCTCTGCCAGCTACTTTCTCAGGTACCTGACACCTCCATCTTGTACAGGTGCAGCTCAGTATTTCTGAATTCAGTATAGCCGCCCTAGCTAAAGGAAGACAGGCATATTGAGATATGAGACGACAAAAGACCTGGTGTGTGTGGAGAGTTACTGCCTCACTAGTCCTACAGCTCTGAAGACACATAGGTCAGTAACTTCCAGTTTACTGTAGCTGCATGAGAGCAAGAGGCCATTGCCAGGACTTGTGCCAAGAGCGTCAGGTGTGATTGGATACAGGCGTTTCTGTCATATCCGCCGGTCCGCTCCGTCTCACTAATTACCGTAGGATACGCTCTTACATCACCTGAAGTAGATGAAAGTACGTATGAAGACATAGGGCTAAACGATGAGATAGACGCGGCATTTACTCACAAGGCTGCGCATGCATTGCATATAAAGCTCTTGCGGGATGGAATGTTGCTTGCCATAACAAGGAGGTAGTTATGATAAATCGAGCGACTTGATTGCGTGCGATATGCTCAAAAGGGAGCATCCATTACATAGAGGGTCCTGGTGAGACAGTAGAGACGGCTCGTTCGTTCCCGTGCATAGGTATAAAAGCCGCTGACGCAATAACGGGAAATATACTCAACCGAGAGTATAAGTTACATATAGGATTATAGTGAGACGGCACATCCTTTTAGTATAGAAACATGCAATGAAGAACCAGAGCTGAAAGCCCACATTCACGTAGTAGGTACTTGAAAGCCAAGTAGCATTGCATGTGGGATGCCTCACTTTGTACCTTTACAGAAAGGTAATGACAAGGAAAATGGTTGCGTGGAAAACTTTGCTCATAAGATTTCATCAAACAAGCAAGGTATTTTGTTGCGCCTCTTTCTGTGACCCGCTACAATACTGGGCTATCATGCGTCAGTAACACGATTCCTGGTGGGGGTACAAATCTTTCGCTCAGTACCCAACAGGTACGACTGACTGATAGACATAGGGCGTAAGATTGACAGATTCAAGGGACTGCATCCAAGTATTAGTGGCCGTATGGATGCGCTTTGTTGAGTTGCTGTAAACTATCTATAAAGAGGAAAGCAGTCATTGAGAACAGCTATTATACTTGTTTCAGCTACCAGTCACCCCTCTCACCAGTTCTATTCATCTCTACCAACTTTAACTACCAACACCTGCCTACATCTATTCAACATGGCATCCATGAATAACGCAACCGAGGGGCAACATGACCCAGCTACGCCACTATTTGACGCAGTTAGTCATCCCAACAGTCTTTCCAAGCAAGTAACTCGATTCTTTGGCTTAGGCCAAGATAGGATCGAGAATATCTTGCCTGGGACGCCATTTCAGCGAGACGTTATGGATTGCGCTGCCAGAGATGGACAGCGTGCTGTTGGCCATGTCGTCTTTGAGATCCCTCAAGATGTTGACACCGCACGCCTAGCCGCTGCTTGGAAAGAGACTGTGCATCAGACTCCAGCCTTGCGGACTTGTGCATATACGTCAAACACCGGAGATGTCTTTCAAGTCGTCTTGAGAGAGAGCTTTGTGTTCTCGTGGATGGACTGGACATCCCTCGGCCTGAAAGATGAGGTGGTGCAAGACGAAGCTGCTGCTGCCGTGGCTGGGCCGCGTTGCAATCGTTTCGTTCTTCTAGACAACCCTGATACAAATGAACGACTTCTCATCTGGACATTCAGCCATGCTCTGGTGGACACTGCCTTTCAAGAACGTGTCCTTGGGCGAGTTCTCAAAGCATACAAGGATGTACACGATGAACTCCCCCGCCAGCTTGAGACACCCGACTCCTCCCAAGCTACCCCGAGGAAGACCCAAACCCAAACCCAAACCCATCCAGGATTCTCAAGATCCCTCAAGTCGCGGACATGGAACGCGCGACTCAGTTTTGGCGGAAATACTTCAGCGGCCTGGATGCTTCTGCGTTCCCCCCCTTGTCACCTCCCTTGACTATACCCTCCCCCGATGCACAGGCAGAGCATCGCATCTCATACTCGTCCCCAATTCAGAGGAAGTGGTCTAGCACTACTCTATGTCGCGCAGCCCTCGCAATTCTTCTATCTCGCTACACACACTCTCCTGAGGCACTATTTGGTGTAGTGACCAAACAAGCTCCTATGTTGGATCAACATCAGCTTATGATGGATGGTCCGACACGTACGGTAGTGCCTATCCATGTGAGCTGTGCCTCTGATCAGTCTGTATCGGATGTCATGGGTGCAATCGATGCCCACGATCATGCCATGCGCCAGTTCGTACATGCCGGTCTCCGCAACATTAGCAGCACTGGAGATAATGCATCTGCCGCTTGTGGATTCCAAACCGTCCTGCTAGTCACTGATAGTGACACTAAGAGAGCTGCGACTTGGGAGATTCTTAAAAAGACAGAAGAATCAGAGAATTTTATTCCCTGCACAAACCGTGCGCTCCTACTCAGTTGTCAGCTGACCAGTGAAGGGGCACAATTTGTCGCAAGGTATGACCAAAGTGTTATCGACTCCCGTCACATGACTCGATTCCTCAGGCAGCTCGGATGTTTGATCGAGCAATTACAGAGCTCGACAGACAATGTGCCTTGTGTACGACAGGTCGACACGGTGACGCGTGAGGATAGAGCAGAGATCGAAAGCTGGAATTCAGAACCTATACAGGCACAAGACACACTGATTCACAGCGAGATGTTGAAGTGGGCTGCTGATTTCCCAAACAAAACTGCCGTCGTCTCGTGGGATGGAGAATGGACTTATGCCGAGTTGGACAATGTCTCCTCGCGACTGGCTCAACATATCAAGTCGATTGACTTTGGCAAAAAGCAGGCGATACTCCCACTCTACTTTGAGAAATCGAAATGGGTCGTCGCGTCAATGCTGGCTGTGCTCAAAGCTGGTCATTCATTCACACTCATCGACCCAAGCGACCCCCTGGCCAGGATGTCCCAGGTACTCGAACAAACCGCTGCAACAATCGCCCTCACTTCCAAGCTCCACTGCAGCACTGTGAAGGATATCGTTGGCCGATGCATTGTGGTCGATGATGAGCTTATTCAGTCGTTGATGCAGACCGGCGATGATGAACTGCCAACTTTCACAGCGAAGCCACGGGACTTGGCATATGTTATCTTCACTTCTGGAAGTACTGGCGATCCCAAGGGTATCATGATTGAGCACCAAGCATTCGCGTCTTGTGCCGCCAAGTTTGGCCCTGCTATGGGCATCAATACCAACACCCGCGCTCTACAATTTGGCTCCCATGCCTTTGGTGCGTGTCTGCTAGAAATCATGACGACTCTGATTCAAGGCGGATGTGTCTGTATCCCTTCGGATGATGACCGCATGAACAATGTTCCTGCCTTCATCAACCGGTGCAACGTCAACTGGGCCATGGTAACGCCGTCTTATATATCAACATTCCCACCAGACGCTATCCCTGGACTGCAGACCTTGATCCTGGTTGGAGAACAGATGTCAGCATCAGTCAACGAGACCTGGGCTCCTCGAGTTCAGCAGCTCTTGAACGGTTACGGCCAGAGTGAGAGTTCTTCTTTCTGCTTTGTTGCTAAGATCAATCCGCACTCCTCTGAGCCGAATAACATCGGCCGGGCAGTAGGGGCACATTCCTGGATCATTGATCCTGATGACGCCAACCGTCTTGTCCCCATCGGCGCCATTGGAGAGCTAGTTATAGAAAGTCCAGGTATTGCACGCGATTACATCGTTGCCCCACTGCCGGATAAGTCACCCTTCATTGCGACAGCCCCAACTTGGTATCCGTCAAAACATTTACCAGACGGAATCAAGCTCTACAGAACAGGAGACCTTGCACGTTATGCTTCTGATGGTAGCATTGTTTGCCTTGGCCGCGTGGATTCGCAGGTCAAAATTAGAGGGCAGCGTGTTGAGCTGGGCGCAGTGGAAACACGTCTGAGACAACAAATGCCTGACGACATGACCATCGTCGTCGAAGCTGTCAAGAAGCCAGATTCGTCCAGTAGCACACTCTTGACTGCCTTCTTGATAGGCTCGTCCAAGTCTGAGCAAGATGTTTACATCTTGGATCAAAAGGCTACCAGAGAAATCAACTCGAAGCTGGAGAAACTTCTTCCCCGACATTCCATTCCGTCTTTCTACATTTGCATGGATGATCTTCCCCACACTGCCACTGGCAAAGTTGATCGAAGAAAGCTTCGAATTATGGGTAGCAAGCTGGCCAGTGGACAGACTCAGACAACAGCTTCCCAGTGGAATCGAGATTCCAATTCATCGGCCACTGATACAGATTCCAAGCTAGAGGAGATTTGGATCCGAAGCTTGAACCTTGAACCGGACTCTGCTAACATTGGAGCAAGCTTCTTCGAGCTTGGCGGAGACTCTATTACCGCAATCAAAATGGTCAACATTGCGAGGTCAGCCGGCATGGAGCTAAAGGTTTCTGGTATCTATCAAAACCCCACGCTTGATGGCCTCAAGGCCCTCATAAACGGTAGCTCGATCAACGGCAGCTCGGAATCATACACCCCCATCCCAAAGTCAACTCATGACGGTCCTGTTGAACAGTCATATGCCCAGAGTCGACTATGGTTCCTGGACCAACTGGAAGAGGGTGCTTCGTGGTATCTGATACCCTACGCCGTCCGCATGCGAGGACCGGTGGACGTCGACGGGCTGACCCGCGCCCTGCTAGCCCTGGAACAGCGGCACGAGACACTGCGGACTACCTTCGAGAACCAGGATGGCGTAGGGGTGCAGATTGTTCATAAGAAACTAGCCAAAGGGTTACAAGTGATCGATCTGTCAGATGACCAACGCAACGACTACTCCGAGGCGCTATACCAGGTGGAGACCACTCCATTTGATATAGCATCTGAGGCTGGATGGAGGGCATCGCTGATACGCTTGGGCGAAGACGATCATGTCCTTTCTATCGTCATGCATCATATCATCTCTGATGGATGGTCTATTGACTTACTAGGACGGGAACTGAGTCAACTCTACGCTGCCACCCTGCAGGGTCAAGATCCTCTATCAGCAGTCAGCCCGCTCCCGATACAATACAGCGACTTTTCCATGTGGCAAAAGCAGGAGAGTCAAGCGGTTGAGCATGAAAAGCAACTCGAGTACTGGAAGAAACAACTCGCGGATTCTTCGCCCGCCAAGATCCCAACCGATTTCCCTCGTCCAGCTCTACTGTCGGGTGAAGCAGGCGTAGTGCCAGTCACTATCGATGGCGAGCTGTACCAGAAGCTACGACAGTTCTGCAACAAGCATAACTCGACTTCATTCTCCGTGCTTCTGGCCGCTTTCCGCGCTGCGCATTATCGTCTCACCGGAGTTGACGATGCCGTCATCGGCACACCCATCGCCAACCGCAATCGACGGGAGCTGGAGAACATGATCGGTTTCTTTGTCAACACTCAATGTATGCGAATCCCTGTTAATGATAGTGACACATTTGAGAGCCTGGTCCACCGGGTCAAGTCAATAACGACGGCCGCTTTTGAGCACGAAGATGTTCCCTTTGAGCGAGTTGTATCTGCACTGCAACCTGGGTCAAGAGATTTATCACGAACCCCGCTGGCGCAGCTCATGTTCGCTGTTCATTCGCAAAAGAGTCTCGGAAGGTTCGAGCTGCAAGGTATCGAGTCAGAACTGCTCTCGAGCAAGGCATATACCAGGTTTGACATCGAGTTCCATTTGTTGCAAGAGTCTGGCGGGCTTAAAGGCAGCTGTAACTTTGCTACAGACCTATTTAAGCCTGAAACCATTCAAAACGTGGTCAGCGTGTTTTTCCAGATTCTGCGTCATAGTCTCGATCAACCTCAAACCTTCATCTCGGTTCTCCCGCTTACCGATGGGGTACCGGAACTTCGAAGTATGGGCCTACTCAAGATCAACCAGGTCGAGTACCCACGAGATTCGAGCGTGGTTGATGTCTTCCGTACCCAGGCCGATGCTTGCCCCGACTCTGTTGCAGTCGTCGACTCCTCATCACGCCTGACATATGCAGAGCTGGACCATCAGTCTGAGCTGCTAGCGACATGGCTTCGCCGACGGAACATGGCGGCCGAAACACTGGTCGGGGTTCTAGCACCAAGGTCATGCGAGACAGTTGTTGCCTTTCTTGGTATCTTGAAAGCGAACCTGGCATATCTCCCCTTTGATGTGAGATCTCCTGCTGCCCGCATGAAGGATATCCTGTCAGGGGTACCCGGACACAAGATAGTACTGCTGGGCTCTGGAGTGACTGCCCCTGGGTTTCAGCTACCAGACCTGGAGCTAGTACGTTTCACAGACGCTGTGCAAGATCATGGCAAGAATGGTGTGAACGGCCATGCATATGCACACTCGTTGAACCCTTCCGCGACAAGCCTTGCATATGTGCTATTCACCTCCGGGTCAACTGGCAAGCCCAAGGGTGTCATGTGTGAGCACCGTGCCATTCTACGACTTGTCAAAGGTGACATTATCCCAAATTTCCCTTCTGAAGCGAGGATGGCTCATATGTTCAATGCTGCCTTTGACGGCGCTACTTATGAGATCTGGAACATGCTTCTGAACGGTGGAACAGTAGTCTGCATTGACTATATGACCACGTTGGACGGCAAAGCCCTTGAGGTTGTATTTGCCAAAGAACAAGTCAACGTCGCCATGATGGCACCTGCGTTGCTAAAACTATACTTAGCCGATGCTCGCGATGCCATGAAGAATCTCGACATCCTCATCGCCGCTGGAGACAGGTTTGACGGCCAGGATGCTGTCGAGGCGCTGGCGCTTGCCCGGGGTCGATGCTTCAACGCATATGGCCCAACTGAGAATGGAGTTTTCAGTACCATGTACAATGTTGCCGAAAATGAATCCTTCCACAACGGGCTTCCCCTTGGACGACCTCTCAACAACTCTGGAGCCTACGTCATGGATCCCAACCAGCAGCTGGTGGGTGTCGGCGTTATGGGAGAGCTTGTTGTCACTGGAGACGGTCTTGCTCGTGGTTATAGCGACCCAACTCTTGACAAGAACCGCTTTATTCACATCAACATGGACGGTGAGACTGTAAGGGCATACCGGACAGGCGACCGGGTGCGTGCCAGGCTAGGAGATGGCTTTATCGAGTTCTTTGGGCGTATGGATACCCAATTCAAGCTTCGAGGCAACCGTATCGAGGCGGGTGAGGTAGAGTCTGCCATCCTCAGCCATCAGTCGGTCCGTGACGCTGCTGTCGTTCTCCGACAGGACGAAGGGCAGCAGCCAGAGATGATCGGATTTGTGGTTGCAGACAACGACCACTCCGTCGAGCAAGAAGAGACAGGCAATCAAGTTGAGGGATGGCAAGACCATTTTGAGAGTGGCATGTATTCCGATATCAGCACCGCCATCGACCAATCGGCTATTGGAAACGACTTCAAGGGCTGGACATCCATGTACGACGGAAGCGAGATCGACAAGGCAGATATGCAGGAGTGGCTTGACGACACCATACACACACTCCATGACAGTCAAGTGCCTAGTCATGTACTGGAGATAGGAACTGGTAGCGGCATGATATTGTTCAACCTCGACGTCGGGCTACAAAGCTACGTAGGTCTTGAGCCTTCCAAGTCAGCGACCGAGTTTGTGAACAAGGCCATCGAGTCCATCCCATCACTTGCAGGAAAGGCCAAGGTTCACGTTGGTACAGCTACAGATATGAACAAACTGAGTGGACTTTGTCCAGACCTCGTCGTGTTCAACTCTGTAGTTCAGTACTTCCCTACACCCGACTACCTGATGGAAGTTGTGGATACTCTGGTTCGGATGCCTGGTGTCAAGCGCATTTTCTTTGGCGACATACGATCTCACGCCATCAACAGACATTTCCTTGCTGCCAGGGCGATTCATACGCTAGGTAACAATGCAAGCAAGAACAGTGTCCGGCAAAAGATCGCAGAGCTAGAAGAAGGCGAGGAGGAGCTGCTTGTTGAGCCAGCCTTCTTCACCACGCTCCAAGACCGGCTTCCAGACCTAATCAAGCACGTCGAGATTCTTCCAAAGAACATGAAAGCCACAAACGAGCTCAGCGCGTACCGCTATGCGGCTGTCATACACCTACATGATGAGTCAAGCGAATCGACACAACCTGTGTACTCGATCGGAAAGGATCACTGGATCGACTTTGAAGCTTCTCAGATGAACAGACATGCTCTTCTAGAACTCCTACAGCTCTCTAAAGACGCTACGACTGTGGCTGTCAGCAACATCCCCTATGACAAGACTGCCTTTGAGCGACATATTATTGAGTCACTCGACAATGACAGTAAAGATGAGACGCAGAGTGCACTGGATGGTGCAGCCTGGATCTCAGCAGTTCGCTCCGAAGCCGAAAGCCGCTCATCACTCTCTGTTCCTGAGCTTTTCCAGCTTGCAAAGGGAACTGGATTCCGTTTAGAAGTCAGTGCAGCACGACAGTGGTCACAGAGCGGTGCGCTGGATGCCGTCTTCCACCACTACTCGTCTTCTCAAACAGCTAGCCCTAGCCGTACCCTGATTCGATTCCCCAATGACAATCATCTTCCATTAGGGTCAACCCTTGCCAACAGACCGCTCCAGCGATTGCAGAGACGTCGTGCCGCGTTGAAGGTCCGTGAACGGCTACAGTCTTTGGTTCCATCGTACATGATTCCATCCAGCATAGTTGTGCTGGACAAGATGCCTCTCAATGCCAATGGAAAGGTCGACCGAAAGGAACTTGCACGCAAGGCCCGAATCTTACCAAAGGCCCAGGCGGCAGCACCCGTGCCAGCGTTCCCTATTAGCAACATCGAGATCATATTGTGTGAGGAGGCGACCGAGGTGTTTGGAATGAAAGTCGACATCACTGATCACTTTTTCAAACTTGGCGGACACTCCCTCCTGGCAACAAAGCTCATCTCGCGAATCGACCATAAACTCAAGGTTCGCGTCACTGTCAAGGACGTCTTCGATCACCCAGTCTTTGCCGATCTTGCAGCTATCGTCCGCCAAGGCTTAGCTTTACAGAACCCCATCGCCGATGGGCAGGACAAACAGGCATGGTCCTCACGAGTGGCCCCGCGTACCGAGACCGAAAGGATGTTATGTGAAGAGTTTGCCAAAGTCCTAGGCATCCAGGTTGGAATCACTGACAACTTCTTCGACCTCGGTGGGCATTCACTTATGGCTACCAAGCTCGCTGTGCGAATTGGTCATCGTCTGAACACCACCATCGTGGTTAAAGACATCTTTGATCACCCTGTTCTTTTCCAGCTCGCTGAAATGATGGATTTGGCTCAATCACAGCACAGCAAAGAGGCAAGCCATGACATACAGACAGCTGGTTATGCTGCATTTCAGCTCCTTGATCTGCAAGATCCACAGGACTTTGTTCAACGCGAAATTCGCCCGCAACTCGACTCTTGCTATGGAACAATTCAGGATGTCTATCCATCTACGCAGGTGCAGAAGGTGTTCCTCTTCGATCCGACAACTGGGTACCCGCGAAAGCTTGTGCCATTCTACATAGACTTCCCACACAATTCAGACTCTGATACCCTAGTCAGAGCTTGCGAGCTTTGGGTCCAAAAGCTCGATATCTTCAGGACAGTCTTCTTGGAAGTTTCAGGCGAGATCTACCAAGTAGTCTTGGAGCATCTCGATATGAACATCCAGGTGATTGAGACTGAACAGAACGTGAACACTGCGACAAGCGATTACTTGGATGAGCATGCACAAGACCCTGCATCTCTAGGACATCCGTTGATACGACTTGGCATTATGAAGACGGCATCATCGGTGCGAGTTATACTGAGGTTATCTCATGCTTTGTATGACGGCTTGAGTTTCGACTACATGGTACGCGGTCTTCACATTCTCTACAATGGCAGAGTCCTTCCGCCACCGACCCAATTCGCGCAATACATGCAATACACTGCCCATAACCGCAAGGAGAGCTACGAGTTCTGGCGTGATGTGATTCAGAACTCGCCCATGACAGTTCTGAGTGATCCCAGCATCCGCAGTGGTCAGCAAGAAATCCCAGATTACAAGGCTGTGCATTTGTCACAGGTCGTTAGCGTTCCCCTCCAGGCTATTCGGAGCAGCATCGCCACACAGGCGACAGTCTTGAATGTTGCTTCTGCTCTAGTGCTTTCGAAGGAATCAGGTTCAGATGAGGTCGTCTTTGGTCGAATTGTCTCTGGACGGCAAGGCTTACTGGCTATTTGGCAAGATATCATCGGACCTTGCACAAACTCAGTACCAGTACGTACTCGCATAGATGCAGAAGCAAATCAGCAACAATTGCTTCGCGACATGCAAGACCAATATCTCCGGAGTTTACCTTACGAGACACTTGGGTTCGAGGACATCAAGCGCAACTGCACCGACTGGCCAAAGGAAACGACGAATTACTCCATTTGCGTCACATATCACAATTTCGAGTATCACCCAGAGAGTGAAGTAGGACAGCAGCGGGTTGAGATGGGAATCTTGGCAAAGCATGTTGAGCTTCGCAAGGATGAGCCGCTTTACGACTTGGCCATAGCCGGAGAGGTTGAGCCTGATGGTGTTAGCCTCAATATTACCGTCGTGGCGAAGGCGCGGCTATTCCAAGAAGAGAAAGTTAGGCAGGTTCTGGAAGATGTCTGCAGGACATTCCAGACTTTGAACTCGTCCTTGTCATAGGACGGTAGCAAGCACGGAGAGGAAGGATATCTGGCCTAGGTTAGAAGTTTATGTCTGTAGTTGGTAGTGATTAACAAGAGGAATGGATATCTTATAGAACTTTAATTCTAATATGTGTTTTCAAACTAAATTTATATTGTGATAAATACTGTATTGGTATGCTCTAAGATCCCATTGCCCCTCTTACGTACTTATTAACATTAATATACAAGACTCATCCTGCGATCTCCTTATACATAGCCTTGACCGCTTTATCCTCAACCCCCCCAATCACTGTTGCAGTATCATATTTTCAATGCAATATATCTGCAGGTAAACGCTTCTGGCGGCTGGTGCTACGGTTCTAAGCAATCAATGGGGGGCATCAGCGAGAGTGGCTGGCGGAAAGCTGTATGTCTCGGTGCATCCGGCTTCAGCCAAGGATATCATTGGAGCTGACCACTGACCTGCCTTTTTCTTTAATGTGAAATGCCTAAAGTGTGATAAGAGCAGGGGCTGTTTCGTATTTGTAACAGCCATCAGTTTTTCTGAGATATCACATAAGATTACTCAATTAATTTATTTCTTCTGGCGCTTCTCAGACAGTATAGTTGATTAAGTATACGTAGCCCACTTGTAAAACCTCAAACCTTGATCACTTCTGGGAGCAAACTCCACAAGTGATCCTTCGTGCCATTGTCCTCAAATTGAACAATATTGGCGCTATTGGCAGTTGACATGCCATCAACCCCAGCCACCTTCTGACTATGTTTGTTCTTGATCAAGAACAAGCCACGCGAAGAGCTGACGCGACGATGTGGACACCATGGTGAGATTGGAGAAGGCAATCATAACAATAAGGATGGATGCCATGGCAGTAGCACTGCTTACTGACTGCATCGAGTTGTAGAAAACCTGCATAAACGGCTGGCCTGTTGGAGACGTGATGACCTCTTCAAGGTTACCTATGCAGAAGCAGTATGTGATAACCATGATCTATCCGAAAGCACCATTGAAGAGAGTCGTCATGATCATCGAACGCGGCAAAGTACGACTCGCATCGTGCAGCTCCTCGGACATATGGACAGCAGCATCTGCACCCAGCAGTGGCAAAACGCCTGCAAGAATGCCCACGAGCGTCGAACCTCCTATACTATTCCAACCTCCGCCATCGCTGAACTGGGTAAAGACAGCTTTGGCATCAGCCCTTGGCGAAAGAACCCAGAGGGTAACAAGGATGCCAAAAAAGGCGAAGACGTGAATGACCAGGATAATAGCTTCGATCAATGGCAACTTCCTGGCTAGGTGGATGTTAAAGAGTACCGAGAACGCAGCTATAGCTATGGTGAGTAGCGTGCCGTGCCATGGCTTGGGGACGTAATCTGGGTTATTTAGAACGATGAGGCCCTGAATCTGGGTGCCAGTGATGAAGGCAGAGGATGCACATGATGTTTGCCAGCCGAGTACGCACATCCATCCCATGAGATAGCTGATGAGCTTCTGGTACTGTGATGGCGCGAATTCGGAAACCCAATGGTATTGTCCTCCCGTCGTGGGTGCCCTGTACAAGGTTTGCGTCAACAATCTGACCACATGTTGTGTATGGGGAGGATACTCACATTGAAGCCATCTCGGCCATGGAAGTGTTGACGAATAAAAATCCCATCCAGCACACAAAGAACATCCAGATCGTACCAGCAGTGCCGCCGTTGACGAGTCCGATAGTCGAGACACTTCAATTGACAGGATTAGTTAGCCAACAGGCGACTAGAATACTTTTATCTGCATTCTTTACCTCAAAGAGAATTCCCAAGATGCCATTAGAATCATAGAGAAGCCGAAGATGGACAAGAAGCGAAAATTTCTCTGTGTGATGTCGCGTGAGCCCAGGACAAAAGGGTACAGGTATTGGTACAAACCGTCATTTCTTGGGTTTTGCCCATACGATACATGTCGGCGCGATCGGCCGCAGTTCCTTTTTTCTCGTCGACATTGTCATTAATGCCGATGGGAGCATCGTGGACGTCGAGGGGTCTCTTGTCGTCGTCAATTGACATGTTGGCAGTATTTCTTGACTTCTTTGACGGCATAGCCAGATAGAAGAAAAGTAAAGGGTAAGAAAGAAAGTAGAGAGGGAGACAAATAAGGCTCGGTAAGAGGAATGCAGGAGTGCGGCATGAACGCAATTCAGAATGTACATCCGATCCAACAGCTGCTTGGTTGCTTGCCGGCATATCCATCCTGGTCAAATTGCTTCAATGCTACAGGGGTTCAGTCCGCTCGGGCCTAGACTAGACGGGAACCTCCTGTGCCGTCCCGGACTTCGGCAGTCTAGTAGTGCGGGCTTTTATGATGATCTGATAACCTGATCGAATATCTCTCCTGGTAGATCAAGCTAACAAATGAAAAGAAATACGCTATTTTCTACGTAAAGGGTATCATAAATGATGCCTTCAAACAAGCTGCTTCTCACAATTTTCACATTTAATCTGCATCATGCTTCAGCTAACAACCAACATGGTGGGCTCATATCTTCTCATTTCGTCCAGGGTCCATGCAGCCACAGAACCAACAAACAAAGCGTCAGCAGCCACTGAACCAATAAACAAAGCGCCAACAGCCAACAGATGTGGGTACGGTACTGGGGAGGCACTTGGCTTCAACATTACATTCGGCCTCTTCTGGTACGCAATAGCAAGCACTTTACTTCTGACTACTCTGTTGTTGCACCCATGCCCTATCCCCTGGATTTAGGTGCATAGTTAGCAGGAACCTCTTGCGCAACTGAAAGTTGAAGTTTGCAGGCCTTTGTGAGAGTAAGATGTTGGCTGGTCGGAAATTAGGAGATATATTCCTGTGGCGTTGGTGGCTGTAGAGTCCGAGCCCTGAACATTCACATCTGCCAACACCCGAGCTGAGGTGGCCTGTGCCTAGGTACTCATGCCGCAAGGGTGAAAATAGAGATTAATAGTCATCCGTTGCCTCTTGAACAGTGCAATGCATCTCCCTCGTAACCCTTCTCGAGTCCGACTCAATGGTCTCTAGCCATGGATCCAGAGACATCAGACAACGACGGCTCATATCGGTTCTCCCCTGTCACATTTAACGACCACGCCGGTCAATTGTGGATCGTGACAATTTTGTCGCTGATCTACAGCACGCTTGTGGCTCTGGCACGGTTGTATATCAAGTACCACAAGTTCGGTTTCGATGATATTTTTTTTGCTTTGGCAATGGTGAGGATGCCCATCAGATCTGGATGACGCTCCACATATATACTAACCACTCAGATCTTCCATTTAGCTCAGTCAATTGCTGTCTTTATTGCTTTGAGTAATGGCCTCGGCAAGTTCAACTCTATCACTGCACCAGAACAATGGGCGACATCTTCGAAAGTAAGCCTTGTGCGGTACTACTATTACTACTATCACCAGCTAACACGGCCACTGCCAGTCAACTCTAGCGGCCGGTATTCTCTGCCTTTTAACTCTTAGTCTCGCCAAATGCTCTGTCCTCGCCCTCATCCGACGCATCATTGGCTCGAAGCCTGGGAAGAGTGGACCGGTCTGTATCGGACTCATGGTAATCATTATAGTATGGGGTGTCTGCTCCTGTTCGGCATGGCTTGTGAACTGCCGCGCAGATTCTTTGTTGGCTTTGGATAACGTCAAGCAATGCCCGCACCAGGTATGAAAACACTTTGAACCTCCTGAAGACTCATCATCAGATGCCTAACCAAAGAATTCATAATTAGAATACACGTTGGGCCGTCATAACGGCGATAGACATCTTGACCGAGATCCTTACCTGGCTCCTCGTACTGCAATTATCCTGGTCCGTCAACATTTCATACATCCGCAAGTGTCAGGTTGTTATGGCTTTCTCATTCCGTATACCGCTCATCGACCTCTCAGCCGTTCATCTGGCGTATTCTGCAACAAATCCAGCCTCTACTGAGCCTCAATTCGCCGTCACAAAGGCCCTACTCTGTCAACAGATCATGGTTGCTTGGTCGCTCATTTCTGCCACTGTGCCAAATCTGAAGAACTTTTTAAAATCATTCTCTATAGGAATGGGGTTTCCAGTGTCCTTTGACCTCAGTATGTCTGGATCAAGCAACGTCTACGCACTTCAGTCATTTAGAGATAATCGCTCTGGGGTTACATCATCTGCGGCTGTGGCAACTGCAGTAAAATCGAGATCTGATAGCGCTGCCCGTAGCCGACCGCACGGTTGGAGGCCGGACCAGGTCTCATGCCAAACAACGGCAGCATGCGACTCTGGAAGCAATAATCGGGATGATATATCGGAGGAAGGGCGGAACTCTAGGGCTGGCAGTCAAGAAATGATCATTAATAAGGAAGTGACGTGGAAGGTTACGTATGAGGACAACCAATATATTAGGCGCTGAGTGCTGGCAGTAAACCGGATAGAACGGTTTCTTTGGGATTTGAAAAACATGGGCTCATAGATTGTTGGATTTTAGAGTCTGTAGCGATTTAGTCAAACGAACAGTAGCCAAGTTTCATTGGGGTGGAGCCATACCTGTAAGGCCATAGGAGAGATGCCACGCCAGGTTCGCGAAACACTTTCCTGGTCGTTGACAACCTTAACAACCAACAACCTCATTTCGGGCGGTGTAGGATCTGCAGCAAGGAGCGAAGCGGGCCAATCGGATCACATCAAATCACACGCGCTGAAACACTACCTGGTCTCACGGAAGATATAAGGGTCCTAGATCTTGCACTCCACATCACATCACGTTTATCTTTGTCACCTGGCCCGGGTGAAAAAACCATGTCTGAGATTGTATTGCGCGATGCGCGCTACTCCGAACTTCCAGAGATTGCCCACATCATGTCAGAGGCATTTTGGAAGGATAACCTATTTGGCGAGCTCATACACCCCCATCGTAACGAGTATCCCGATGATGTACACCTGTACTGGCTGCGACGGGCACGGGTCAACTTTTGGGACTATCGCTGGCGATGGATCGTTGCTGTGGCCAAAGACGAGAGTGGTCAGGAAGTTATTGCCGGCATTGCTCAGTGGGTAAGACTGGGAGATGGGGGCCAAAAGCTTGAGTGCTGGTATTTGGATCCTCGTGAGTGTCTCATCCCATTAGCCTCAAGCCTATTTATACAGGCTAAGCTAACCCATCGACCCAGGAAACCTTCTCAAACCTTTATCTTCTATTGTCATGAACATCCATGCTTGGGCCTGGCCTAATCGTGCAAGCGACCCCAAGGAGGAGGACATCATAGAGCGGGCATATCCTCATTTCGAAGACATATGGAGCGGAAAGCGCGCTGAGTCCTGGTATCTCGAAGGATTAGCAGTGCGTCCAGATTTTCAGGGGAAAAACGTGGGCCGGAAGCTTGTGCAATGGGGCCTCGAGCAGGCCAAGGCTGATGGTATTTGCGCTTCGGTTATTAGTGCCTTTGGCACAGATGAGTTCTATAAGAAATGCGGGTTTGACGAGCAGTACGGAAGCGCTAGACAGGGTGAGGGTAACCCCTTGGCGGATGTTGAGGGTGCTAACATGTTTTGGAAATGGCCTGAGACTTGAGTCCGGCTATGACACTCAAGATTGATTGCAGCAGTCCTGGTGTCTAGCTTTTGAGCAGAACCCTTACATGGTTCCAGATATTCTATATACAATGTTACTCTTCTTGGAGAGCTACAGGATCTTTTGGATAGTATTGAGTGAGGTCTTAATGCTCTATGATGTCATATATCTCGAAAATCTCCACTGGAGCTTACTTGCGTATGCCGAGAGTCGTGTCAGCCTTTCCCAAAGTCCAATGACGGGTCCTATAACTCGGAAAGGGACCATCTTTTCAGGGTCTCCTCCGCGTATAGGTGGGTAAGACCATATAGGCGTTGACCATGACAGAAAGGTTAGAAAGAGGCGTGTATCAGCGCTGCCGTCAGGTCAGATTAACAATCAGATATATCAATCAGACCAATCAATTCAATTCAGATATGGAACCTAGTCAGGTCAAACAAATCAGATTTGAGTTTCTGAACATCTGATATATTTAATATCCCCTAGATGCCCCGAGGATGCTTTGATTGTGTTTGGTTCAACTGCCAGCCCGTACCCTACTCAAGAATTATCACCCGAAACGCATTGCGTTTCCTGTTTTGGACCAATCACCGTCTAGCACTGATGAAATCAGAAAACCTAGAACACGAAACGCATCGCGTTTGCGTCGGCTGACCCTTGTCGAGTTCAACAACTTAACTGCTCCAGACCTAAATAATAACATTCATTACCATCGTCTACTAAATCTCACGTGTTTATTATCTTCGTATCCCCTCAATTGTCGAAAGGCTCCCGAAAGTACCTTGCCCCACATGACCCCTGTCACATGACAGGTACATGAGGGGAACCTAAAGATGCATCATTAACCATTCTTGCTAAAGTCGTTATATAAATCGTTTCAATGTCATCTATGAATTGTCGATCGATACTGGGCGAGGCCTTCAATGCATATGATAATAGCAGCTTTATCAGAGAAGATGGCAGCCGCCGCGAGCAAGAAGGGGATAGTACGCGGCAGCCTGATTTTCCTCCCGCTACAGACCGAGGCTTCAATTTTCAACCTTTTCAGGTAGAGAGACGCAATCTTCAGGTCAACCAACTGCCCCAAGAGCCCCTATGCCTCTTCTAACACTTCATGCCACTTTCCCTAGTTAGCAGCTAGGCCGAGTATACCAATAGCTGGCTCAATAGCTTGAAAGAAAGAGGTATTATTAATAGCCAGAACCACGAATTAAGAGAGGGATCTAAACTACAGGAGTAGAAGCCGACCTCTACAGCAGAATTATATGTCTGGCTTGGGATCCTGATTTATATAGGAATCTACAAAGAAATCGCGATTGAAGACCATTAGAAAACCCCTGAGCTAGAGGATCAGTGCCCTGAGCACTCAATTATTAAGTTTATGACCCATAAGCGATTCCAGATCCTTCATCGGCACCTTCGCCCTTTTGACTATACTAAATTGGAGGATGATGAGCGATTCCCTGAGGTCTTCCAATGCGCACAACCATGGTCTGAGCACATACAATACGCCACAACGCAGCTCTGTGAGCCAGGTTCTCATCTCGCTGTAGATGAGGGCATGATCTGCTATACAGGGAGGAACTCGGAGGTCACATATGTACCCGGCAAGCCTACTGATACAGGCTTGAAGGTATGGGTTGTGGCTCAGTTAGGTATCTTTTTACGATGGATTTGGCATCAACCCGGCGCGAGATATGGTCCTGTTGGTATTGAACGCCCTGCGGGAAGAAGAACGGTAGCTCAAAGAGAGAGACGCGGAAGAGGAAGAGACAGCAGAGGAAGAGGCAGAGGGAGAGGCCGCCAAAATAGGGAAGATAGGGAGGCTAATAAGGTTGAGGAAGTTATCTACGTCCTCACAGACGACGGGGATAAGATCATCGCATTGAACTCGACTCAGAGCGTCGTTATTGCCCTTATTAACCTACTACCACAATCGACATACCATATCTTTGTGGATAACCTCTTCTCGTCGCCTGACCTCTTTCTCTCTCTTCGTCAGCACGGCCACGGTGCTACAGGCACAGCCCGTCCTAACTGTGGCATTTATAAGGAGTTTGCAGACTATAAAATAAAGGATCAATCGGGGAAATCAGGGTTTAAATTCAATGAGATAAGATGTGCCAACCCCTGATAACCAGGTATAAACCCTTGATACTCTTGGCTATATTTCCCTTACTAATATGCCTGCTTATCCAATTGGTGAACCAAATCGCATGGAAGGATAATGCCCTCGTGTTATTTCTATCAACCGTGTTTAAGGGCGATGAGAGATGTGAGCGCTGGAGGAAGAGGCCATCAACGAAGAAGGCTACGGCACGGCCGGTAGCTGACTTGACAGTATCGTAAACCAAGTGAAGTCCCAGTGGTGCTTCGAGCGGGTTGAGGATCTCTGCGATTCGCGTGGCCAACTCACTTGAGGGGGCAACGAGAAAAGCATCACCGTGACGGCCAAGTTTCTGATGGCCCTTATCTCGTATAAAGCGCCAGTTTCTCTGATCATCTGAAGCCCAAGGATTGTGAAGTTTGCAGAATTCTATGCTTTTTGTTTCGCGATGGTGCCAATGAGCAAAATTGTCAGAAAACTGATAAGGGACTACCCCTTTCAGCAGTCTGGACGGAATCAGATCTAGCGTTAATCCAGGTTTGTGTAATTGCACTAGAAGGTCTTGTTCTTGCATGCCAAAGTGAACTGTATAGCCTTGTAACTCTCTGGTTGCGCTGAATTGCATGCCTGGTATATCACTCGGCATAACATCTAAGATCATGGATCCAAAAATCCTGCCATAATCTTTATGCATATTATAGTTATGAGGTAGACGAGTTAATAGGGCGCCATTGACCAGTAGTTTGCCTGTTAGGATATTAAGATCGACTTATGTTTATCTAGAGTTTATTTCAAGCTAATAATATGTTGAAGAGGCTATAGACCACTCTGCTGTATATGAGAAGTCTGGCCAGCTTCGCTTTATAAACAGATCAAGGCATTCATTGCCGCGATAGATGACCTTATAGATAAGGACTGGCCGAGTGCGGTGCAACGTGTATTTGGTTCTGTCCTCCATGATGCGTTGAAGTGGGCTTTGGGTCTTATTATTGGCAAGAATGGTGTTGTAGATGACGATAAGGATTCAACAAGAAGAGATGCCTGCTGTGAGTCTCCTAGGATCTTTTCCAAGTGCTTATCATCAACGTTAAACGTTTGTACACATATCCTGGCAACATTTAGGGCCGATTCAGAAAACTCCTTTCGTTGCATATCGTCAGCTATATCCTGGAATTTCCCGATTAAAGTTATTAACCACTGATATAAGATGTTGCGGCAATAATATAGAAGCCCCAAGATATCTTAGGATAGCTGTAGGCTAGCTAGTGACAGAAACCGAATTGCTAGAAGTATAAAAGAAGATAAGGCTATATAGGCCTCCTAATTCTTTTTGATCCTTGTAACTGCCTGCTAGAGGTTTTCTAATAGCTGACGACTAAACTCTACGTTAGTGAGATGTGTGTGAGCTTCTCGGGTGACCTTAAAAACCGATTTTGGCCCAGCCTGTAGGGTAGTTTGAAGCAAGAAGATCGCCGTCTCGTCTTAGTTAAAGTCAATCATTGGCATAGCAAGTTAAGTCAAGATGCTCATCCACTGAAGACGGTATCCATACGGCAAGACAGCTAAGGCTTTAAACTCTCCTAAAGTCATATACTTAGGGTATTTAGACTGACTTGCTATTACCTGGTTGGGAGTCTCTCCATCTGGTTGAAGCCAGTTGCAGACGAGAAAAGATTGCAAGGCTTCGGCGCGCTCGGGAACTTTGAACGTATATAAGTTCGAGACGGTCATTGACTAAGTGAATGAGGAAATAAAGCTGCCACTGGCACGATCGAAATAATAATATACGGGTCTATTTTTTAGGTGGATATTAACTATATCGCTGACCGCGATGGACTTTTGACGTCGGTGAGTTTGAAGATGAGGTTTTACTTCTGACAGAAGAAGCACTTGACTCGGTTTAGAGGTGCACCAGGAGGAGAGACCGCTATATGAATCCAAGGGATAAGATGAATCAGGGCATTCTCTAAGGGATTTGAAAGAAAGTATATTATGGATAAAATAAAACGTAACATCCTGCCACTCTGCGAATTAGTAAGGAATCCCGAGTTCAAAGACTGTAGCCTAAGCTTCGAGAGTATCGGTAGGTAATGGCCACTCGTAGACCATTATGTGCAGGCTGTTCGCTTAACTTGCCAAAGAATAACGATGGCAGCAGGGGTTATATATAAGATACCTAATACCTAGTAAAATTTAATAAATTTATCTGCATATTATGGCATTATACTATTATATTAAGTTATTATATCTATCTTTAAGTTAATAGAACTTACTAATCTTGGCTTATTTATCTAACTTAGCCCTCTCCTCGATTATAATTTTCTTACTCTTAAGCATTGGCGACTGTTGGAAATATCGTATAGGGAATGACATGCTATCGCCAAAAGAGCGAAATACAGATGGCCTGCTTGGTGTCTATTTGCAGCCTATAAGGTATGTTTCAAGGCGCTGGAGTCTTATTATATCTGACTTTAACTGGAAGAAAAGTGCTTGCTAGAACTTAGTGGGTACTTTGGCGTCATATTCCTTGAGCATAGGGAAGTTATATAATGTGGCTTTGTCGATAGCTACCTAAATCTCCCCGATTGTCAGAAGCATTCGTGATGCAGCTTCTGGACGGCTTGAGTAATAAGCTCTTGCAGCCGAATGATAGCTTTTAAGTAGTACTTTAAGTGATGCGCAGACTGATTCCTCGCGAAGATGCTTTTGGATCTATTTGTCGAGGTTGTATTGAACCTATGACTCTATTATTGCAAGGTTGAACAAGACGTAGGAATTGTCACCTGGTGTGCGAACCAGTAGGAGGCTGTTGGCATTCAAGGATGAGAGGTGGGCAACCGGACTGAAAGTTGAGGTGTTATTATTACTCCTATGGTGCGAAATGGATGTAAGGAAATTGTTAATCTTTGGAATGGAGAATAAGAGGTGGTCCTTTATCTTAATTAAGGATAAGGATGTGATATCTAACTGCTCCTCTGAATAATTATATATTCGTTCCTATCTCTCCTTTAGATTTTTCAAAGCTGCTAATATAATATTACGGATAGTCGAAAGCTACTTATCGTTGTATAGCCCTTTAAGCTTGCAGAGGCGGCATGAGATCTTGGTTATTATAATGTAAAGTAGCTCTCTTAGAACTGGGGCTTGGTTTGCTATAAGGAGCACCTGTGCTATCAGGTAGATCATGAAGCATTTATAGATATTATCTAAACCACCTGAAAGGCGGCTTATAGTGAGCTATAGACTGATGCAGATGAGCAGCCAGACGGGAGATCTTCTCTATGGAAGCTTGCTGCTACTACAACTGATTTCTTTATAAGTATTCTTGCAGATACCTTTAACCTCGACCAACTTTCCGATACCTCTAAGGACACTCGTTAGCAGCTTAGTGACGATTCGTAGATCTGTTGTCTCTCGGTCCTTATGATAATCTTTTCCGGCTTTTCTGGCCTTAGGTTGAGCTTCAGAAACCCTCTAGTAGGATATCTTAATAAGTGTATTAGCCAGGACTTCCTACAGTGCCTGGTTCCCAAAATCCTTTGAAGATATCTCGGTTGCAGTGTCTAGAAACTGACGAATTAGGGGACCCTTGGCGGCCATAGCGGCTGCATTAGTAGGAGATAGCTCAAAAGTTTTAAAGCAGAATGAATTGCTTAATTTGCAAATAATCAAGCCTGCATTCTATGCAGCGATATAGAAAAGGGCAACAGGTCCTATAAATATGATTATTTGTTGGAAAGGTTAACATAAAGTAATGTAAGTATATACTATCTAAGGAAAGGCCTTGCAAGACCTTCTAAACGCCGACGTAGTCTAGAAGCCCTTTCGGGTCCGTCGTATCTCGCATGGTTTGCAACATCGAAATAACAGGCTCGGCGGTCGTCACATCTTTTCCTCCCAACTTGACGGTAAAGCGTTGCAGAGTCTTCAGGACAGAATCCGCCAGGAAGATAGTATTCGGGGCACTCATATCATCACCGCCTGGTAACTGTGGAGGCAGGAACAGGTGATGAAAGAGATATTTGATCTGGTCATTGCTGCTGATGCTACCCATTATGGAAAGAGAAAGAGAGAAGACTGGTAAGCAAAACAAATGGTGATAGATGTCTTGTGAGAAATGAGTCAGATAGTTTGGCTAAGTATCAGTCTGTATTTAGTGATGGATTCCCTTACTAGAAAAGCTACTGAATGAAGAACTTTCTTAAAGTCGCTTCCACTACCATAGATATAGATAAGAACGATATCAGTGTTAGACTAACATGTTAAGGCCTGAGTTGAGGATAGGCGGCTGCCTGGCATATCAGGTCGGCCTCCCGCATTGGTAGCGGTAAGCCAGCCTGATTATAAGGGAGAATGTTTGGCGGCGTAAACCTAATTTCCATCTGCTATCTCTTTACGTAGCACAAGGCATCAACAGGTCACTCGCCCTACTTAGCTAACTAACCACGCTAGTACCTGCAGGGTATATAAAGTTCTCATCAGACAGCTTAATAATTTTCTACTACCAAATTCATTAAAAACCTTATATAAATAGCCCCTAGCCTGTTATTATTAAAACGATAAGCTCTTTAAAGATATAAGATAGCTTAGATAATTACAGCTTTAAGATCCCTCCTTTAAGTAACCTTACTGGCATGCCTAATTTTCTGCCTAAAGAGGGCCGCAGTTAGGATTTTAAACCTTTTAAGCTAGAATATTATAATTTTAAGATTAACCCTTTACCTAAAGAACCCCTTTAATTATTCTAGCTTTTTATACCTATTTCCCTTATATAATTATAAATTAAATATATTAATAGCTAGGTCTTTTATATTTAAGAAAATAGCATTATTAATAATTAAAATATCTTTATTTTTAAATACTTATATATCCTTAAGTAAAAAGGCCTCTCTTTTATAATAGCTTATATATAACTTAAAGTTATTATTTACCTAGGAATTTATAAGGAAATCTTAATAAAGGACTATTAAAAGGCACTTAGCCTAGGAGATTAATGCCTTCTTTACTTAATTATTAAGTTTATGCCCTTATAAAAGTTTTAACTAATTAGCTAGTATTTTTATACTTTTAACTATATTAAAGTTAATATAAGAAATAAGGGGGATTTTCTAAAGACCTTTTAAGTAATTAAAAAGTAATTTAACCTTATATAAAAGGTATTAAAAAAGCTTTATTTTCTAAGGATTAATTTAACTATAAATAAGTATATAATACTATTTATAAGTAAATTAAAAGAGATAATGCTTATTAAGGGAAAGCCTATATTAATAGGCTTTAAAGTCTAGGTTATTACCTAATAGGGCTTCTTTTTATAATAGCTTTAATATATAAAGGTATTACTATATATAGCTATTATTATTAACTTACTTATATTAAAGCTAGTAAGTAAGAAGGGAAAGCTATAAACTAAAATCCCTCTTAGTAATATATAAAGTATTATAGTTTACTTAATAAAAAGGCTACTTCCTTAAATATATTATATTTTTATAAATAACCTCTTATTATTATTATAGCTTTTCTGCCTCTTTTAGCAGCTTGGCTTTAGTACTATAAGTATAATATGCCTTAATTATAATATTAATACTAAGATAAAGTAAATAAAAAAAACCAGCAAAGCTCTTAATAATATGCCTTTAAGATATAATAAGGTTATACTAATCCTAATAAAAAATAAATAAATATAAATAGCTTTTAACTATATTTCCCTTATTAATTTATCCCTTTTTATTTCCTTTAAGTTATTTAAATTACTTAGAAAGATAGTAATATAATACTCTTTATTTTAACTATATATACTAGCGCCTCTTATAAGTATATATTAAAAAAGAAAAAGCTACTAGCTAAATAAGGCATAAAGGTAGAGGTATAATAGCTATAATGCCTTTTTAATAGAAATAGCTTTAAAATAATCCCTATACCTACTATTACTACTTAATATAATAATAAAATAAATTATATAAATTATAGTAATTAAATAAGGTCTTATATAATATATAAGTATTAATTCTATTATAGATTATAATAGGCATTACTTTAGAGCTTCTTCCTTAAAGTTATACTTATAAATAGCTTTATTTTATAAAAAAAGACCTAATATCCTTATTAAAAGCCTTATAATATACTATAAGTATAAAAGGAATATATCTATAATGCGATTTTTAATATATATACTACTAATAGCAGCATAAAGAAGAGAAGCCAGTTAGGGAAGGAAGAAGATATTAAGGATATAAAAGCATAGCAAAATCACCTATAAAGAGATATTAATTATATCTGCTAAGGCAGCTATTTGCCTTGCCTAGCTTGCAAGGGCTGCCAGCAAGGGCAGCCTTAACCTTTTAAAAAAAGGAAGGAAAAAGGAGGCTATCTTAAGCCAATATTAGGAAATCAGGGGTATTAGAAGACTAGGTATAGTTACAAAGTATATAATATAGCAATTTATAATAATGCTAACTATTAGTACTTCTATTACATGCTAATTTAGGTATAGGTAGAATATACTAATTGTCGCGATTATTTTAATTAGCCCCCGACCCTAGTTATAACCTCCCTGATGCCTTATGCTACCCAAAGAGATAAGTAATAGCGTATTTAATACGGCGCTAGGTATTATAGGTAATATAGCATAGGTATTAGATTATATGCATTTTATATATATACTAGATGGCTGGTTTCTATTATATTTATAAAGACCTGTATTATATATCGTGTTACTTGCTGTTTTATTCCTATAATGCCTAAACCTTCTTTAAGTCTACTTAAGGTCCCTGTTTTTAAGAGATTATACTAAAAACTTATATTATAAATAAAAAAAAAAAAAAAATATTAATTAAGTATTATTATAATTTTGCTTTCTCTAATAAAAGATAGTTAGTTTACTAGGATATAAAATTAGTTACTAATCTATATAGCTAAATAGATTTATATAAAATATATATTAGCTTATCTATATTAGTAAATAGGGTAAGCGTTATTAGCTATATTTTATCTACTAACTATTGCCAAATAAACCATTTCTATTTATTAATTATTATATTATTATATAGATTATAAGATATTAATTATTATAAGAAGCAGTATTAATAAATTATATTTATATATTAGCTAATATATAAAATAAGGTTAGCTATAGATAGAATAGTTAACCTATATTTATGGCGTCTAAGTATTCCTACTATGCATTATATAAACGCAGTAATTAGTCGGGAAGTACATTGGGCAGAGATGAACAGAGAAGCGGCTGTATAGCTTAAGCAGTGCCGACAGAAAACCAACGGGTTGCGATTGGCAGAGCCTCAGACTAACCCACGGCTGATTACCTACTATATCTTAGCCTTTGAAGTTGTCGATTATTCCTTGATTAAGCGCTGCGAAGAGCGGGGTAATAAGATATATATATAGGATTCGTATGTGGTTCTGCCTGGTGGATTTTATTGACTATAGTACAAGACATATGGTGCTTTCGTCGTCGATCATTATTAGTCGAATCTATTCTTTTCTCGCCATTATTCTTAACCGCTCTTTGAACGGTATCGTATCTATACCTATTATAAGGCCATTAACCTAGATTATAACGCGATCTAATGCACTGACTACTGACAGCTATCAGTGTATTAAGGCAAGGGAGGATTATGAGGTTGAAGGCGAGCTTGGTATAATAGTGATCTGTCTAGACTGCCATCTGGAGGAGGTAACTACCCGGAAACCTGATAATGCCAGGCAACCAGGTATTAAGTAAGCAGCCCTTCCTGATAAGAGAAGGGTCTATATTGCTTTTTAAGGCTCGCTCTCGTTAAAAAGAATCGCAGAATAAAACCTAAGTGATTAATCTATTGCATTAGCTATTAAGAAGCGGAAGAAAAGCCAAATAGCTGTGAGAAAGCTAGTTAACAAATATGGCATTGCACCTCTGGTAACCTTACTTAGAGCCTTATTTGATTAAAAGGTATTTACATCTATTGATGCAGCAAGACGTCGATTTCCCGACCTCTTTCCAGAAGAGCAGGCATCACCAAGGCCAGGAGAATGGCAGGAGACAGCAACGGAACATCCGCCAAGAGAGAGCGAACCACTTGATGTCGATGCACCTGAAGAGGCTGTCGCTGAGGAGGACCCTTGGATACGGGAACCGAAGCCGGGTCATGATTTGCCCGACGAGCCTGGGGTCGCAGCGAAAGACGACGAACCAACAAATGATCCAGAACCCGAAGTAACGGAGGGGTACTACGTGGACGTACGAGACGCAGAGAAGCCTTGCGATGAGGACTTCCCACAACTTCATCATAGTGATGATGGCGATGATTCGGTCTGCGACAAGTCGCTGGAGGACGCCGCCAAGTCTACAAACCTGGAGGAGGAACCTTTTATAATAGAGGCAGATCCAGCAGAAGAGACAAAATCTGCAGAAGGTAAGTATCTCGAATCTACACTCGCTAATGATTTAATATACTCACTGAACTGTACCTGGAAAGTTGTTTTGCCGTTCTGGGTTATGCGCTTGAGCGAAGCATTCTCGAGCGGCCATTGCTCAAAGCTAGCGAGAACCGCCCCGACTTCGGTCTCATCGAGCGTCGCCTGGGATGACGCTTGACTGAGGATACCGCATTCTTGAGCATACTTCCCCCTTTAGGTTGACTGGGTAGATCTCAATCTCAAAAACGGTGTTCCCCGACGAGAGCGTTCAACACTAGCGGTTGCATCGCACAGCAAACCGGCGGAGGATCTCGAGATCTTGCGTCGCTTGACTTCAGTCAATAAAATCATCAATTTCTTGTCCATCATCTACTGATTTCACCCCTACCCCATCGCGTATCTAACAGAACTGGTCCCGGATAGTATCGGTTCGCTGTCGTAGCCAGAATAAACCATCGGGTCACCCATACCCATCATGACTTCGAGGTTGGGACATGACAGAATGTGAGGATCGATGGTGCCAAGCTCTGACTCCACAAGCCCCTGACCTAAGATGTCCATCCTGCCCGGCACGCTGGGCCGTTGGAGGAAGTGCATGGTGAGATGTCTGGGTTGAGTGTCGGCCGAGATGGAAGACCAGGAGGAAAAGCTTGGTATCGAGGGCGACTGCGAGGGGAACATGGCCTATGGGTTGGTTCCGGGTGGTGGAGGCGCGAAGTCCAAGCCACTACTGGAGGTGAAGCTCTGTGGCGATAGGACTATGGCGTCGTTTCTGCTAAAGGCGGCTTGGTAATCGTGCTTACAGCCAGGATGATCAAGTTCTGATAGTGATGCCCGCTGCGTGTGATTATATATGGAAGAGTCGGCGTCCTTAACCTCCTTCCTGCCTTTATTTTCTTTCTGCTGCTCCTTGAGCTGGTGGGCCAGTTTAGCGATGCCGGCTTGATCTTTGGGGAATACTAAGTCAATAGGGAGGTCGATATCGCTATCAGCTCGGATGCAGCCCAGCTTCTGCACGATATTATGGATGACGGGCTGGCCCCGGTCGTTTAATTCAGGATCACCGAGCTCCCAGGGCTGGTTATTTCGGACCATGAAGTAGAGCTTGTGGATGGTAATGATGAGAGCGAATTGGGTGTTTTCTAGGATCTCGGCGTATCTGGTTGCTTGTAAGTGATATGTAGGAGGCCGGCGCCCAAGGTTCCACATCGCAACACTACATACCCTTGTGACAGCTTCTTGTATTTCATCTTCTTTCTAATACCAGCAGCGCAGACCAGGTCATCGTCCTTGCATCACTTGCAGGGGAACTCGCCGTCGCACTGGTTATATTAGTTGGGACAAGATACTAATAGACATAAGAGACGAACCTTGGTCTTCTTCATTCGACATCTTTCGCAAGCCTTCCAAGCACGCCTATATCGACTATCTATTCCAGCAATGGGGCTCGCTTGCTTCGAGGTACGGTGCATAGGCTTGACCGACTTCGTACTTGACGACGTGCTCCTTCTGGACAGAGTCGATTCGTGAGCCTTGATGGGAGGAGAGGCGAAGCTAGTTGGGCGCATTGCTGGTGTTGTCTGAATGCGGCTGGGGAAATGATATCATCTGGTACGTATTTATGAATTGTGTTCCATTCAGACGAGTCAGGTCCTCAAGGTTACGAGTTAGACTAGACAAGTGTTAGCTTTTTCACTGAGACACCAGGCGGCAACAGGGTCAAAACGTTGACGGACTCAGCATTTGATGAACGAGGATAATTCAGGGGACTAAGCCCAACACAACCTTAGGCCCGGCGGAATAAACCTCCTCCTCCTAAGCCCAAAACCCAAAAATCGTTCAGGTTTGGTCATCTCCCTGTTTCATTCTGCGCAAAGCTCGAGAAGCTCGAAAATTAGTTGAAGTGCCCAATTATAAGCCTTTGGGTTGCCATACGGCTCTACCCCTATGGAATGATTTGGGGTTGTGCTGAGCTGCTGGGCGCCCAGAACATCTCCATGCCCATCAGCATCGATATGTGTCCCAGTCAGTTGTAGTCAAAAGTCCAGGGGCTTAAGCCAATTGGATGGCAACGGCTTAGCAGTACTTCTATCTGCTTAGATATTAGCAGGGAAAAAAAGTACTAATTGTCCGGCAGGTACAAAGCTGCTCCCTAACGCTTTGCTTCAATTGAACCTACTGTACTCTGTAGGAGGGCCTATGGGGCAATGAATGTCGTGTCCTTCTAACCCATTACGACCCCTTCGTCCGTTGATCACTACGTCTGGAACATCTTGGATATTATTTTGCGGGCGCTTGGCTGGGCCTGCAGCCCGATCTTGCTTGCTATTGGTTAAGTTCAAGATTGTCCCCGTTTGGGACCTTTAGGGCCACGCTACTGTACCTACAATCTAAAACGTCCAAATACAGGGAAAAAAAAGACAGACAATAAATTTTTCCACCTGAAAATCTGACAGTTCTGTTCGTTTCGGGTGGCAAGATCTTTATGATCTTGCCCCTCGCTTTAGTCAGCTCGGCTGGACCTTCCTCATTCGTTTGACAGATGGGGATGTCAGATGCTGCTCTGGTTGCCGGGATTCGTGGAACACTTGGAGCAAATGTCTCGGGACCCGCGGCCGGTAGTTCAGCTTCCCTTGGTTTTCCGGAATATGCGGCAAATATATCAGACGACAGTCGAGACAAACCTTAATCATGGACTGGAGGCAGCTTCTTTCTTGGGGCTTTACTATATGAAGCCCTAGTGGCAAACCTTGGTGCTGGTGCTAACAAGGGTCTTGGACGCCCGTTTGAAAGGGCTTAGACAGTACCATACACGCAATTATCCTGCTAAGCCTGCCAAACAGGCAAATCCTTGCCAGTTGCTTGCAATTTAACCCACGATAGAGTTTCTGACATGCTTGACCAGACTTTAATTACCTATCGCTTTTCCGCAGCAACCATTCAATCATCTCCCCATCCCCATTGTGATCCATTTCCAATCGAAACCACTTGGGTTGCCTCCATTCCAGTCGATGAATCATGGTCAAGGCAGAACCAATCGCCTCTGAAGGCCCGCGTGAGTGGGAGATGCTCAAGTACATACCAAACTGCTGCTTTTGTCCGCTGTCTGCTTGGGTTAACTTTCATTCCCAGACGCGATGGGTAGAGTGGCTCCTGTGGGCAAGCGCTGACGACCCAACACAGATATGCCTCTTCCTTCACCACGAGCACGATCACTGGAGATGCTCCATGTTTCGACGCCATCTTGAATGCCCTCTCACAGCTGGCCGCATTCCGTCTCCAGGCTCGCCGCGCCATCATCTCGTTCTTTGACCGCAAGTACCAGCACATTGTCGCTGAGGCCACTCAGTCCTCTCCCATTGGCCCCTGCCCAGACCGCATGAAGGACCGGCTCTGGCCCTCTGGGATTAACCCTCGTGGCGACAGCATCTGCGAGCATGTCCTTCAGTTTCGAAACACGAAACATGTCTCTTTGGATCATGATGTGGGACTGGAGGTCTCGGTCATTCCTGACCTTGCCGAAGATGCCCACTCACCCAGTGGCTCATGCGTCCAAGGGCTTCCTCATCATCGATTCTATTGCGGTATACCTATCCAAACCCCCAGAGGATTCAACATCGGTGTTTTGAGCGTGTTCGATGACAGTCCCAGGCCCGGTGGTCTAGATCAGGCTTCCATCCAGCTCCTGAGGGATCTCTCTAAGACCATCATGTCCTATCTGGAGACGCGTCGCGCCACAGAAAATTTCATTCGCAGTGAGCGCATGGTGAATGGCCTTAGCCACCTGGTCCGTGGCAATGACAATGCTACCAACGACGTTTCCAGCTCTAGACAGCGCGACAGCCGGACTCGGGGGTTTCAACAAAACGACTCATCTAGCAATCATGTCTCCGGCAGTCACATAATGAAGACCAGCGCAAGCCTACAGGATAGCTCCGAGTGCTCCAATGGGGCTACAAATAAACTTCCCTTACCTTTCAGCAAGCCAGCAGCTCTGGCTTCACTAAGTCCAGCCACCCATCTTCAGACCGACACATCACATGTTGTTGACCCCCAGAAAGTTGAGTTTGCAAGCATGCTCAGCAAGGCCGCGGATATCGTCTGTAATTCACTTAAGGTTGAGGGCGCACTCTTTCTCGATGCAGGTGTAAACTCCATTGGGGCTCCCATGGACCATGAGAACAAGTCGTTACACTCTGTCAACGATTCCGCATCGAGCAGCGAGGACAGCTCGGCGGACCACGTCAGCGATCCACAGAACAAGAGGCCTTGTACCATACTCGCCCTCTCCACCACTGATCAGGCTATACTCGACCTAGTCCAACCAGGCTTGCAAATATCGCTCAATCAGAAGACCCTTAAAAGACTAATTTCCCGCTATCCAAATGGCAAGGTTTTCAGTTTCGAGGAGTCGGGCTCGTTGTACTCAGGGGAATCATCATCCGGCGAGGAGACAGACCCTCGTCTTCCCGATACCCGAACTGCAAAGACTGCCGCAGATCACAAACCCACCTCCTCACGCAAGGATGAAGCCAGGCCCGTTGCCGAGCTATTTGCCGGGGCGAGGAGTGTTGCATTAGTTCCCCTATGGGATCCCTCCCGAAACCGCTTCTACGCTTGCGGCCTCGTCTGGAGTAAGACAGCCGCTCGCATTCTCACACCAGAAGCAGACCTACCGTACCTGAAGGCCCTTGGGATTGTCACCATGGCTGAGATCAACCGGATAGACATGACACTCGCCAACAAGGCCAAGGCGGATCTGCTAGGCACGTTAAGCCACGAGCTCCGTTCGCCGCTCCATGGAATCTTAGCCGGTGCGGAGCTTTTAGCCGGTACTTCACTCGACCTGTTCCAACAAGAAGTTGTACACGCGTTGGAAATATCCGGCAAGACACTGCTTGACACCATCGATCACGTATGATATGTTCGGCTGAGCTAAAATGGTCATGTTGCTAATTCTTGTGTAGCTGTTGGTATTTAGTAAAGTGAACACTCTCTCGCGAGCGTTCAAGTCGCAAAAGGAGCACAGGAGACACCGTAGCCCTTTCAGAGCCGGTAAACAGGATGAGGAGAGCAGAGCAAGTACTGGGCCCGAGATGCAGTCTCTGTGCTCGGATGTTGCATTGGACAGACTCGCCGAAGAAGTCATCGAAACCGTCACCATCGGCCACAGTTTCCACTACGCAGTCATGCCACAGGGGCCAAGATGGCTCCCGCCAGATGTAAGTCTTGAAAATGAATCCACAATTGATGATCGAGCGCCTTACCAACCATGTCGAATTCACAGGCGGATCTGGCCGGCAAGGTACAAATCACAGTTGATATAGACCATCGCAAGCCGTGGTTGTTTCGTACTGCACCTGGTGCTATCCGCCGCATTCTCATGAACATTCTGGGCAACGCCCTGAAGTACACGTCCCAAGGCCACGTGAAAATCAGCCTCAAGCAGGAAAAGGGCACCTCACACAAAGGGCCGCGAAAGTCAACCACCGTAGTCCTTACCGTTTCGGACACGGGCAAGGGCATTGGGGATGAGTTTCTGCACAACAAACTCTTCGTTCCATTCTCCCAGGAAGACTCGCTTGCTGTGGGCACCGGTCTAGGGCTCAGTATTGTGAAGCAGATTGTCACATCACTCGGCGGCTCGATTGGCGTTCGAAGCCATGTCGGCAAGGGCACGACCATGTCAGTCTCCTTGCCACTAGCTTACGCCGACCCTGGAACTGACAACACGGGTAAGACAGAGCGGGAAGAAGAGTCATTGGGTTTCGATGGCAGCATTCTTGACTCTATCCGGGTGGCAGCTGTGGGATTCACCCGTGTCCCGTGTGCTGCTGCCGAGGTCAACAGCGTAGCACAACTCCCACTGGAAAGTCTGCCTCTGAAGTGGTTCAATATCAACCTCTGGGAAGCTGAGAATAGTGATCCTGCCGCCCCTGGCCCCGATATCATCATTTACAGTGAGGCTGCCTTTAGCAAACTTGATGAGAATACGATCAACGGCCACCTCCTTCCTGCGGTCGTGATATGCCACAACGCTGGAACTACTGTAAAGCTAGACACAATGTACAGGGAGTCTGGCACAAAATCTGTATTTGAGTTCATTCACCAGCCGTGAGTCGAGCCGCGACCATCATCTAACCATCTATTCACTGACTGATAGGAATACACCCCGAAAGTTCAGCAGGATCCTTGGCTATGCTCTCAATCGCTGGAAGCAGCTCCAAACGACACATACTCTGAGTGACACAGAGGGTTCTAGCAACAATACTGACGAGTCTCCTCTTCCCGTATCGAGCGCAGACAGTAATCGGTCATGGAATTGGACGACTCGAGAACAGTCTAGTGAGAGTGCGTCATCCGCGGATAGCCAGCCCGACCAGCAGACGAACTCGAGTTCGAACCCCAATGGGCCGATCAAATCTGAGGATCAAGGGCCTCAATCCAAACAGACACGCGGAAGCAGCCCAGACAACTCAGCAACCGAAGAAGGATCTGTCCAGCCGCATTCCGAGTTTCTACTTGTAGATGACAACACGATTAATCTGAAGGCGAGTTCACACTCTGA